TATAGGCCTAGTATTATTTATACATTTTACAAACACTAAAATAAAAAGTGTAACCATATTTTTTTCCAGTAACACACTGGAAAATGTACCCTTTAACTTATGATATTATGATTTAGACTTTTTACTGGTTGTTTGTTCTGTGATTTTATTTTTCTGTTTACATTAGCCTAATCCAATTAATGAGTGCTTTGGTTGTTTGAGATCTTTCTGACTAATAAATTATTTTTTAGCAAGACACAAAAATATCTTCAGCTTATAATAATAATAATAATAATAATAATCACTAAACAATCAATTAATGTTTTATTTAAATACTGAAAATATGTTGCACATTATTTATTTATTTATTTAGTAGTTAGTTAGTTAGTTAGTTAGTTAGTTAGTTAGTTAGTTAGTTAGTTAGTTAGTTAGTTAGTTAGTTAACCACAAAATTTAGCTTTCAAAATTTAAAACTACAAATATTTTTGTTCAGGCACCCAGATGGACAGAAGTGGCCCTTTCTGGGCTAGTGGGCTACCCAGGAGAGCCAGGGCTGGTGTCCCCATAGGCCTCTGGCAGACTGATTGAAACCGTTGATGTTGGACAGGAGAAGTTCAGCTGGAAACAAGGGGGATGGGACTGAAGAGGGGGAGTGTCCAAACTCACAAGATGTGAATGAATAAACCCAGAGGAAGAGGAAGAGGAAGAGGAGGAGGGGTGCAGCTAAGAAGTGAAGAAAGATAGAGCACACAACAAGAAAGAGATAAAGACAGAGAAAGAAAGTCAGAGAGAAAGCAGAAAAATAGAGAGTAAGTGAGAAAGAAAGCAAGAGGGGGAGGCAGCAGTGCTGTGTTTAAACAGCCTGGACATGATTGACAGGTCTGATAAGGCAGGGGGAGAGAAGAGTGTGTGAGAGAGTGGCTGGAGGTGTGTGTGTGTGTGTGGGGGGGGGGGGGGGGGGGGGATCTGACTGGGAGAGGAAAGTGAGCTATTAATTACTAAAGCAGAAGCAGATGTAACAGAATGGTGCCTGAACAGCTGGAAATCATCAGCATGAACGAAACAGGGAGGAGAAAGATAGGTGAAAGAAAGAAAGAAAGAAAGAAAGAAAGAAAGAAAGAAAGAAAGAAAGAAAGAAAGAAAGAAAGAAAGAAAGAAAGAAAGAAAGAAAGAAAGAAAGAAAGAAAGAAAGAAAGAAAGAAAGAAAGAAAGAAAGAACAGTGCATTAGATGCTGAGAGTGGGCAGGATCTCTGCTGATGGGTTTGATTTAATAGTAGTAATACAAGCATGTGGCTTCAGTGGTTCAGAATCATCTGGAAGGATGTTTGATTGGACCTTTAATCCTTTTTCTTTTGATAAAGAACCAAATAGAAAAATGTCATTTGTCAAATATCATCTGCTAATAATTCCACTAAATAATGAATGCATGTTTTATTTTAAACACTACACTAAACAGACTGCATATATGTGATAGGAATGAATGAATTATATATATATATATATATATATATATATATATATATATGTGTGTGTGTGTGTGTGTGTGTGTGTGTGTGTGAATATGAATTAATTATATACAGTATATATATATAAATGAATATGAATTAATTATATACACTGTATATATATATATATATATATATATATATATACAAATTCTCATTTATATGGATAATTATATAATTATCCTGTCAAACTGAATAACATGTAGGCCTAACATAAGTATTTTATTTATATAATATATATGAGTGTGTACACACACACACACACACACACACACATATATATATATATATATATATACTGGCAAAAAAATATTGTTGGTTTAACTTAAAAAAGTAAGTAACCTGGTTGCCTTAATTTTACGTTCATTGAAATTGAAAAAGTGAGTTAATACAATGAAGGAGAATGATTTAATCATCAGAAACTCAAAATTATGTTATCTGAACTAAATAAATTATTTAAGTTGATTTGACAAAAGAAAAAAATGTTGTGATTACTAATCATTAAAGATTTTTTTACAGTGTATATATTCACACATCTATTATATAAACAAAAACTTTGATGCGATTGATCACGATTAGTCAAATTTGACAGCACTAATAATTATAATAAAGATTATTATTCAAAATTATTTATATAAAACCAGATTACACCAGATTAGCACAGGAAGTGGATGAGTTGGATAAATTTGATCAAAAGAGAACTGAAGCAGAGATTTCTGTTTACAAAAGTCTGCTCCAGTAATTCACCTCAGATTCATTCATCTCATCCTTATGAGCAACGATAACGTGAACGTCTGCCTTTCAGGCTGTCTTTAATAGCTCAATTAATTCGCAGACCGGAGCTCAAAACACACATTTTTATTGTGGCCCAATAATATTCCTAAATTCCAGTTTGACATGGTCATTGAGGGTTACAGTTATGGCGAGAATGAGAAAGAAAAGGAGGATAAACCAGTCCCCTCCCCTCCAGCTCTGTCAGTTAGCAGCTTTTGTTACCTACCTGTAAGCTGAATCCATTCCTTACAGGCAGCAGGGGTGAAAATGAATCGTCCCTAAGGATCTTTAGTGGGATTTTTCTATCTGAATCCCCCCTCCAGTGCACCTGGTGGACAGGGAGTGAGTGACACAAGGCTTTAGCGGCTCTATGCCCTCGTCCTCCTATTACTCTCTGGTCTCTGAGCGGGCATTTACACAAAGACATCACTAACTGGGTGGAAATATTTGATTTATCGCTGCCGTGCAAATGGAATAAAAATATTATTGAACAACTCTAAGTCACATTTAGCTGGTAAAAGAGTTCCTTATTTAATCATGGGAAAAGAGCGGCGGCGCCCCGAATGCTTTCATCCGATTAAAATAAAGCGATGATTTTTAAGATGCGTAAATGCTGTCACTGGCCCCATTGTGTGCATGCGGCTTTGAGCGTATCAGGCTGGGGCGGAGGGGTCAGGGGTCAGTGGGTGGTCAGTCGTGTGGACAGCTTGATGGAGCTGAGGGGAGAGAGGGGCCTGCTGTTCCCACAGCAGGAGCGCTCTGAGCTGGGCTGGGACAGTGGGCAGGTCCCTGGGGGTCATGCTGAGAAATGGGTTCCACTCCCCAAATAGCAAACACAAGCACAGGCCGCAGAAATATGGGGGTTCCTGAGAATAGAAGGGGGGAAATAGTTATATAGTTAATAGTGTCTTTCCCCCAGTCTAAAATGCATGTTTGAGCTGTTTTAAATGAACGCAACTTACACTGGCATATTTTAAAATGTCAGCGCTATTGTTTTGTCTGAAGATTCACACCAGTAATGTGTTTTTCTAAGGCATGTTTATAAAAGCTACTTAAATGCACTAATTAAACCAAGGCCTAATCCTGGTGTAATCCAAGCCCTGTCTGTGAAACCAAGCCTGTTTTCCTGATCATGCATGGATGGGTGGAAGAAATGCATGATAAATCTCTGATATCTCTGCAACACAGTCTCATGAAGATGCGCATCTATACCACAAATGTCATTTCTCGGTGGCATTTATACGCCAAAAATGATTTTTTGCGTGCTTATGCTACACACCAAAAACCCTGGGGTAGGTTTAGGGGGGAGGGGGGTGGGGAGTTCACGAGAAATGACATTCGTGCTATAGATATGAACTTTCATGAGATCGGGCTCAATAAATCTCAATACAGCATTCTAGTGTGGCAACTACATTGAGGCTGTGCAATAATTATACTATTGTAGTTAAGGGGGAGGTGTTAAAGGGACAGTTCACCCAAAAATGAAAATTATGTCATTTTACTCTCATGTTGCTCCAAACTTTTTTTTTTTTTACCTCTTGCTGAACACAAAATATGATATGTTGATGACAATGTTTGGTTCCCATTGACTTCAATTGTATGGACAAAAATGGAAGTCAATAGGAACCAAAATAGTTTTATCAACATCCTTCTGCAGAAAGAGTGAATTACACACAGGTTTGGATCAACATGAGGATGGGTAATGACATAATGACAATAATATGGAAATATATTTTAAGAATCTAAAGCACTTAATATAATTCCTTCTCATTTTAACTGGAGCCAATTTAACCAGATAACTCTGTAACTGGAATACTTATGACCCTGTATTACAAATGATACATTCTTTTAATCAAAAGTAGTTAGCAAGTCTCTATTCCAGCATAACTTGGATTTAAATGCATACAGAAATTCAGTAGAAAACTAATCATCTTGTTTGAATTGCTATGCTACAACAAATTATATAACCAATTGGTTATAACAACAAATTTTTACATTAACTTTTTTTGTAAGTTATACAAGATTCAACTCATCTAAGTCAGTTTAATGTTAGATGAATAGTTCACTTTGAAATTAATTTTTGATATGTTTTAGCTTACCTCAAGGGCATCCAGTATGTAGGTGTTTTTGTTTCCACAGTATTTTCAATTTTGATATTTTTAGGTCCAAACCTTTGTTGTCTATTGGTCACATAATGGAAGTCTATGGGGATCTCCTAAAAGAGCATGCACAGAGGAAGTCCAAATTAAACAGGATTTAATGACTCGTAAATGTAAGTACACATTGATGGCCTAAGACACGAAATGAGCGGTTTGTGAGAGAAAACGAACAGTAATTATATAGTTTTTACCTTGTGTAAGCACAGCCATGTCCAACTGATCTGAAGGGACGGGCGCTTCGGTCTGCGCATGCGCCGGAAGTGATCTCTTGCGCGTGTATGTCACTCGTTGTTTACACAGAGATATCGGAAGTTTTACCTTTCACTGTGAAGATCTAAACATATTTAGTTATACAGGAAATCACAATGGAAGACAATTTTGATGTATCTAAATATGTTTAGACACCTACATCTTGGATGCCCTTGAAGTAAGCTAAAACATATCAAAAATGTATTTTAAAATTAACTATCCCTTTAAGTTAAAATTACTTAAATAGCCATGTTGGATGTACTTAAAAATCCAAGGAGGTAAATTAGTTTTTTTTAATGTGTTAAGTAAAAAAGACACTGCAAGATGCAAGAATTGTTATAAACAGATTTTAATTTATCACTGAAAAAAGCGCAACACTACAATCTCAGTGTTCAGAATTTCTTAATATGAAGCAGGACTCGTGTGGTTTCACTTTCGGTGTTTTAAATACAAACTTTAGAGATTTTGCATAATTTCTGTACAGATACATGAGAACGTGGACATACCACATCTATAACGTATAAAACCACATCAATAAAACGGTGCAAAAAAAAAAAAAAAAAAAAAAGAGAGAGAGAAGTCCCTGCACATACAAAAATAAATTAATACACTTTATTCAGTCACCAGTCTTGTGTAAAGCCTGTTGAAAAAGTTCTGAACACACCGACAGTGCTTTAAAACAGTCCTTCACACCACTAAGTGAATCACAAATATGTATTTACAACAGAAAAGAGGTAAAGGTGTGCTAAACTAAATCTTATTTATTCTGACAGCTTATTCTTAATATGCATCTGTTGATTTACATCGCAACAAAAAGAAAAGAGGAAAAACAGGCGTATTTACAAGACCACAAAATCATCAAGTAGGCTTTTTCTTTTCTTAGAACTTCAAACACCAGACATGTTCATCAAAATGTTTACGAGACTCAAAAGAGCTGAGAATTTTGTACAGTAGTATAAAAACATTTTGTGAGTTGAGCGTTAAAATATTACCTTGCGCCCAACATGCAACAAATGCAAATAAATAAAAAAAGAACAATAGAAACGTGGCTTCAAAAATGATCAATGCAACACAAACATTCGAAATCAGTTTTTTTTTCTCTTCAGTGTAATCACTGTACAGGCAGAGATCTGCGACTCTCTGAACTGGTATTGCCTGAGTGACGCCGATTGGTATTAATTAATTTCACAAAAATGGATCGACTGGAAAAGGGGGAGGGGGGGGAAGAGACTGGCAGCGTCTCCAGCACGCGGCCCCTCGCTGAGAGCTTGGAGATGGGGCCAGGCACTTGGGTTCAGGGCCTCGTCTATGTGTCCTGGCTTGAGAGGTAGTTGCTCTTCAAAGAGTGCAGCAGGGTCAGAGAGACAAATTTGTGGACCTTTGGGACGCCGCCTCCTCACAGGAGAAGCTCAAGATCGGGATGCGGAGAAGGCCTTCATGGTGCGCAAATGTCAGCTTTGAAACATTTGATGCCTTTAAATACACAGACGGACAACTACGACCGGGCTTTTATTAAGATTATCACGAGAAGTTCCTTGTTAAAGGGGTACAGAGAGGTAACACTGTTCCAGAAGCGCCACCAACCGAGACCTCCGTCTCCACTTTCCGCCCACAGAGACTCGCACCAGTGTGTCATTTTCAGCACACTGGCAGAGTGAGAAAGACTGCGCCTGTGTGCACATATGTGTGTGTGAGCCTGTCATTTGGGCCCCATGGGACCCAGTAAGTTTACAGCAAGTGATTTACTCAAACTCAGTGCAGCATGTTGTTTGCCAGATGGGCATCAAACTGGCAAAAGAGTGTGTGTGTGTGTTCAAATCAAGGCTGGTGCTGGTGAGGCTTTTGTGCGGTGGGTGAACGTTCTGGTCTTGCTGCTCTGCTCAGATTGCCAGCCTGTTGGGGTGGACAGATGAGAGGGATCCAGAAGGCAGAACTCCTCCAACATTATGTTTTTTTAATCATTTTTTTTGCATCAGGTCTTCTCCTGTCCTGTTACAGACACAGCCTTCTCCCCAAGTCTCTGAATAAAACAAGCACACACTTTGAATAAATCCCAGCATTGTCAACGTGCTTCTTAAATCTATACATTATATTAAACATTTTTAAAATGAATCATGTGTGTCAATACTTTTGTCTGTTTGATAGTTGCAGTACCAGCTCCAGTTTTGGGAGGGTTGTTGTCGTTGTGCATGGCGAGGAAGGGGTTTGTGGAGATGGCTGGCTGTATGCCGGGCAGGAGGCTGTTGATTGGCAGCTGTATGTCATTCTGCTGCTGCTGTTGTTGTTGCTGCTGCTGCTGCTTCTGTTGTTGCATTAACTGATAGAGCAGAACCTGCTGCTGTTCCTAAACAGACAGACAGGCAGAGTATGATGAGAAGTCTAGACAAATATGGCACACCCACAGACTGCCCACAGACCATCTGATGCATATTGCACAGAAATATGGCAAGAGTTCCCTCAAAATTGCAATTCCAAGTTGTTTCTACAAGCAGCCAGGATGCTAAAATAAACACATCTGAGAAAGACCCATTATGGACTCTCATAATTAACCGGTTAACCGGCATGGTGTTTTGTATGCAAACATGTATATTCCAATTTTCTTGGAATTATGCATGATTGCAGATTCATCTCAAACATTACAAAAGGACAGCATCATCTTGCCTAATAAGATTGACCATGGCCATAATAAGCTGCAATGTGGGCTATCCTGATGTTAAAAGTCACGTGAAGAAATGTGAATGCTATATTCTGTAGATGTGTGCTGGAGAGTGTGTAGGTGCTCCGCTTACCGGCGTGACCTGCTGGGAGTTGAAAATCTGCTGCAATTGGTGCTGATGGAGGAGGATCTGCCTGTGCTGTTCGGTGAAAAGCCTTTCCGCACTGCAAACAAAAGTGTTATAAAGAAAACCTCCCATAAGAAAACTAAACGTGTAACATTTCAAAAACATCTTTGCCATGGCCAGACAAAAGTATTAAATATAAATTAAAATGAAATGCTTTCTGTATGCTAAAGTAAGAACAGTAATGATAACTACTGGATAGGAGGGCTGTTTAAGAAGACAACATCAGCTGTTCAACCTGAACTACAAGATAAGTTTGTTTCAGAGGCAGACGTACAGGCACAAAAACACAAAAGGTTTAAGAACTAAATGAGCAAGTGTGGGGAAAAAGGGCAAACAAGCAAATCTTCACCTGGTTTTCACAGTGGCCATGCTGCTGCATTCCAAAAAAAGCAAGCAAAAGAGATTGGGAAGCAGAAAAGATATGAAATTAAGCAAATATGAATGCATCACAGTGCCAAGCTGTATGGATGAATCTCATGAATATGTCCGTCAAAATTCACCCAAAATAAAAATAAAACAAACAAAAGGTTTTTTAATTAAAAATACAATGGATAAAAAGATATACAAATTTTTAATATAGTATATTTATACACTATCATTCAAAAGATTGGTGTCAAAATGTATTTGTTTAGTCAAAAAGGTATATTAAATTGATCCAATAACATTTTTATCCTATTCTTTTGCACTTATTTAAATATATATATATATATATTTCATGTGACACTGAAGTCAGGAGTAATGGCTAATGAAAGTTCAGCTTTACCAACACAAGAATAAACAATGTTAAATATTACAATAGAAAGTAGTTATTTTAAATAATAATATTATTTTTACAGTATTTCTTTATCAATTAAATTCCTTAGTGAGCATAGAGGACATAAAAAAATGCATACATACCCAAAACTTAAATAAATGGTAGTGTATGTTGCATTTATTTTTATTCATTTAATATTTCCATGAGATTTGCACATAATCCCACATCTTCATCAGCATCACCTGCCTTTTCATCGCTAATCTAGAGTATGTTATCATGACCCTGAAATACGGATCCTCAGCTAAGGCCTCACACGTTAAAGTAAATCCTAAATGAATCAGGTTTATTACTTAAAGGTAAGACAACAAGTGCCAGTTCATACCTGTTACTGAGGCTGTTGGACAAGGGCAGGGATGTGCTGGTAGCTGTTGAGGGATGGGGCAGGGGGCTGTTGTTCTGGAGCACTCGGTTAATGGCGCCCACGATGCCACCCATGGCCAGGTGGTTTCCTTGCAAAGCACTGCAAAAAAAAAGTACATAAACCCCCATTAGAAAACTAAATGTGCAACATCTCAAAAACATCAATGCTTTCTGTATACTAAAGTAAGAACACTAATGATAACTACTGGAGAGGAGGGCCGTTTATGAAGACAACATCCGCTGTTCAACCTGAACTACAAGACAAGTTCGTTTCAGAGGCAGACATACAGGCGCAAAAAACACAAAGGTGTAAGAACTAAATGAGCAAGTGTGGGGAAAAAAGGGCAAACAAGCCAAACCTCACCTGGTTTTCACAGTAGCCATGCTGCTGCATTTCAAAAACAGCAAGCAAAAGAGAGATCGGGAAGCAGAAAAGATATGAAATTAAGCAAATATGAATGCATCACAGTGCCAAGCTGTATGGATGAATCTCATGAATATGTCTGTCACAATTCACCCAAAATAAAAATAAAACAGACAGCTTCCAGCAAATTTAGATTTGCTCTTCAAGTTAGTCTGGCAAACAGCTCATTCAAGCCCATTTCTAATCCGTTGAAATCGCGGCACCAATCAGAAACGATGGGGCGGGCTTTACACGATGACGAAAGCACAGCGACGGTGAACCAGATTTTGTATATTTACAAAGATGGATGCCACCATGGAACTAGGGGTGTGACGGATATAGTTGAACACCCTCATTAAAACTCTATAACTGGCCTTTTTTGTAACGACTTCAAGTCGAATCTGCCAGAGCATGTGCGCTTTACTGCACCAGCACCCAGTTTGCGTGTCTAAATTGCCAAATTCATCCCAAATTTTTTCTTGTTAAGGTTTAGTTTACTGTGTGTGATTTATTTAGCACATTCACTTCTAGTTTTCTTGCTGTTAATTTTAAATAATAATAGAGCAAGTAGCTAATCAGTGTCAGCTCGTTTATACTAACTAAAAAAAAAGTTAAAAAAAAATAAGTAATTTGTTCTATAACAGACAAAAGTCACTCTGCAAACATCATCTCCTTCATCGCTCTGATTGGTTTTAGGTCTATGCATTTGAGCTACGTCTGTTGGTGACGCCCCTTTGGAAATGATTTGTCTATGAAGCGTAGCCAGACCATGACTCAGTTACAAGTGAGAATGGTCTGGTTTTAACCAGGCTAGAAAATTTAGCTTTACCATCAAAAGAATAAACAACGTTAAAATATTACAATAGAAAGTAGTTATTTTAAATGGTAATATTATTTTTACAGTACTTCTTTATCAATTAAATTCCTTAGTGAGCATAGAGTACTTCTATCAAAAAAAATAATAATGCATACCCCAAACTTATAAATGGTACTGTATGTTGCATTTATTTTTATTAATTTAATATTTCCATGAGATTTGCACATAATTCCACATCTTCATCAGCATCACCTGACATTTCATCGCTAATCCAGGCCATGTTATCATATAGTAAAGTAAATCCTAAATGAATCAGGTTTATTAGTTAATGGTAAGACGACGAGTGCCAGTTCTTACCTGTTACTGAGGCTGTTGGACAAGGGCAGGGATGTGCTGGTAGCTGTTGAGGGATGGGGCAGGGGGCTGTTGTTCTGGAGCACTCGGTTAATGGCGCCCACGATGCCACCCATGGCCAGTTGGTTTCCTTGCAGAGCGCCCATCAGGCCAGTCACCCCGGCTATGGCAGGTAGGGACGAGTTGGCATTGCCAGGCTGGATGGCCACCCCGGCCATGCCGACTCCATTCACCTGCTGCTGGGGAGGACTGTGGGCCGCAGAAGGAGGGGTGGAGAGAGAGGACGTGCTACTTCCGCTACTATGGCCACCAGACAGGGGATCCTGAAAGGAAAAGAAAGAATAGAGAAAGCACAAGAGCGTGAGAGAGAGAGAGAGGGAGAAAAGAGAGGTCAACGTGAGAGAGGCACCTCCTGTACCTGTCCAACCAAAGAGATGCACCATCATACGAATTACATTTTAAACTACAGGAAGCTGCAAATCACTTAAACATCACACAGCCACCAATTATCAGAAAAATCTGACTTTACGATGCAACTACGTTCTACACCATCACATCACTGAAACACTCGACTAGGGGTGGGCGATATGACCAAAATCCTATTTTACGAAATGAGAAATTGTATTTCACGAAAAACTGTGTGTGTTATGTATATATATATATATATATATACACACACACACACACACATCACATTTTTAATATATATTTTAAGTAATTAAAAATAAGAAAAAAAAAGCAAAAGGACAAACAACATAAATTAAGTTTTCAGGTAAAGTAGGTTTATTTAACGAATAGTACGTACTAGGGTAGTCAAAAGTACCGGTACTTCGGTACCAAGTCAAAATTTTAAAAACATAACGGTACTAGTCCTTCTGCAGTACAGGTGGTACAAGAACCGGGTTAATTTACTACCCGCTGATAAGCTCTGCTTTCAAATGCTCCTGTATTTGTGTGAGAGCACTGTAAAGACCATCCAAGGTTTCTTGCAGCATTGACCATTGTAGCCAATCACAGACATGTTTTTGAGCACATGAACCCAATGGCCCATCAGAGTCGTTTAAGTTAGTCAATCTCTCAATAGGAGTTTGTTCAGCATGAACTAATTATTTAGTTATTTAGTCAAGAGCAGTGAGTGATTTTCGTCCTCTTTTGTTGTTTGATTAACATTAATGATGCAGACAGTAGCAGGTATATTAGGCTGCTGTCACTTTAAGACCTTATGCACGGATCTAACATACTGACACATTTTTCCCTTCAGACATAGTGTTCACTGTGTTTACGTGAAACTCCCCACAATGGGCCTTTTTTGACAATTTTGTGTGTGTATTTCACCTTTTACATGCAATAAGTCATGAAAGGACCGATTTGGGGATCACATGCTGTCTGAGAGGTGGATTTCCTTTCCAGCACGAGCACATAGAGTTTTTTTCTTTTATGGCTTTTAGGCTCATTAACATCACGCACATCCTCCTTATTTTCTTATTCATGCATGTTTCTTTATCACCCTAACATGTCAGTAACTAAGTAGTACTGCGCTACGCAGATATATTTACATACTGTGACATAAGCAAGAGAGTAAAATCTGTAACGATGGACACTTAACATCTTCGCCAAAATATGCATCGTCATACCGCCCAGCCCTACACTTAACTATGTACAGATATACATAAAATAACACTTGACTCAACTAAAGAGGTGCTCAGTCCCAGCAGATGGCATCTGCAGAGCAGGGGTAGAGGAAGTTACCTGAGTGGGCAAGGGTTGAGAGGACTCTGTTAAAACACTGCTGCCTAGCTGAATGCTCTTGCTGTGCAGCATGTCTGGAGGAGAGAGAGATTTTGCAACTTGACATGAATGCGGAGACCAGATTAGCTAGAGTTGAGCTGGGAGAGGAGGCTCCGTGAGCAGAACAGAGGGGAGGAAGGGGGTCGGACGGGTGAGAGGTGGTCTCGTATGCGTGTATGTGTGATTATGTGCATCGGGAGGAGGGGGTGTTTGGGGTGGGATTGGACTGTGACTGTCCAGATGGAGTTTGTGAAAACTGTACGGGTAGACAAGAGGCAGAAGGTAGTGGAGACTGCTCACCTGGGTGAGTGTTGCTGGGGTACAGAGGAGATGAGGCAGTGGTGGCCGTGGTGCTCGTGGGGGTGAAAGGCACAGAGAGCTGAGCGCTCAGGAGCTGCAGTCGTTCCTTTTTCATGGTAAGAGTTCGGATTTGTTCCTCCAGACGCCTGTTTTCCACCTGGAGCTGGTGCAGGGACTTAAGCATTCCCAGAACTGGACACAAAAAAAACAACAAAAAAAAACACACATAAAAACATATCCATCAAATAATCTTAATTTTAGAGCCGTTTTATAGCAGAATTACATTTGAAGTTTGCATCGATTGTGTTATTTTTCTGTTCGTTACAGTGAAGAAGTTTTAAACAATCTGTAATTTAAGTATGAAGTGATATATAGAAAGAAAGTGGACTTGACAAGATTTGACGGCAAAAATAAAAGTGGTTACAAACCACCGACATAAAGTCTTTAAGAAGCAGCGAACCCGATACCACAAGCACGAAAACGACATCGGCACAAGTGCGGTTCAAGACCTCCAGAAGGAACTACAACGACAGACTTCCGCTCTTTCCCGCACGCTCGCGGAGGATCACACGGCACTGATCAGGGGGGCGGCAACCCCGAGCCAAATGCAAACCAGATGCAGTGTCAGTGAAACCGCAGAACTGGCCCCATATCAGCGGTGAACAGAAACAACCGTCCTAGCGCTTCCTGTGCAGGCATCTCCATGCATTTGTCAGACTTCCCCCCACGTCGTCAGAGGAGCCTCTATCATAACAGAAACAGCTGCGGCTCATTCACACAATCCTGACACTACAAACCGACCTGCCGCTACTGACAAATTCACTACTACCTCCTCGCAAAAATTACTTAGCCAATCATGAAACTACACAAGCTACAGACAGGTAATGAAGCTCATAATTACGGTGGCATTTACCAATAAATGAATTACTCACATTATGGGGACAGATGTAATTACATGTTTCTAACAGGCATATTATTTGACTGACATGCAGTAAAATATCATTTATGACTTAAGTAATTATTCTTGCTTTAAATAGAATATTGAGTGAAAGCAATATATCCAAGTTTATCATTATGCACCCAGAGATTAAAAGGGATGAATTAAACTCAATATAACAGCAACAATTTCCATGAGATGAGCCTTCTCAAGGCTTTCAATGACCATAAATAATAAAGGCTTTTAGTGTGCTAATGAGAAATAAATTTAAAATGCCTTTTGATATCTACAGTAAACCCTCTCAGCTAGAAAAATAATAAATAAATAAAAAAAAAAAATCAATGAATAAAAATCAATGAATTTGTGTTGTAATATTTTCAATGCTAAAGCCAATGTGTAGTAAGCGGGTTTCCAGGGTGTTGCTGTTGCTATATGGTAACTAAGCTGAGTGAGTTTTAGCATGTTGCTATGCAGTTGTTAAGGTGTTCTGGGTGGTTGTTTACTACCAAGGTCAAAAGAGTCGACCTGGAAGTCTCTATTACATTTTGTCCCAAATAATGGCTCTGCCAGTTGAAAATCATAAGTTGTATCACTTAAAAAAACAGCACTTGCCTTCTCAACAAGCCACATAATTTGAGGAACTATTCATGTCTCTGAGGGATGAGTTACGTAAAGTTTAATACTCAAGCTGGTTTAACTGGATCGCTAAACAACATCTGCAGCAAGACCAACACAGTGAAATCAAGACAAGGCCAAAGAACTCTGTGCTTTGAGTGTTGAGGTTTAGTATTCTAGACAGAAGCAACATACATCATTCTAAAAGTGTAAAAAAGCCTCTCACCATCTCCTTGTGGGCCCTGTTGTAGGAGGAACTGCTGTCCTTCGTTCCATTGCCGTTCCAGCAGCTGGTCAATGCTGGTGACCACAGGGGGCAATGGATCCGAACCAGAGCCGAGTCCTGGAACCAACGGTCCTGACGAGTCATATCTGATATGAAGCCCACTTAACGGAGACCTAAAATCATATTCAAGACCACAAGTGAGATATACACACACACATACAGCTAAATTTGTCTCATTGTGAATTTAAAATGTAAATTCATGTCAGAGCAGGTAAGCTAAGCATCAGTGATACTAGGGCTGGGCAATATGGACAAAAATATTAAAAATATATATTTTTTTCCATATCATAAAATATCGATATTTATCATAAAATTAAATGTACCATTAAAGGGATACTCCACTTTTTTTGGAAATAGGCTCATTTTACCACTCCCCCAGAGTTTAACAGTTGGGTTTTACCGTTTTCGAAAGTATTCAATTGATTTTTTGATATTTAGAAGAATATCTGTAACCAGACAGTTTCTGGTCTCATTGACTTTCTGGTCTCATTGGATTCGAAAACGGTAAAACTCAACTGTTTAACTCTGGGGGAGTGGTAAAATGAGCCTATTTCCAAAAAAAGTGGAGTATCCCTTTAATGGGGAAGGAAACGCTTACCAATTATTTTTTAGACCTTGAGAATGAATCATGTAAATTTCAGAATTAAACTCCACAGAGTAGCTAAGTCAGGTCCGCATGAACTCCATTTTATTCTCCACTAAATTCAATGTTCTTCATTTTATTTAATATTTTTGGGGGACTGATTTTGTATGATTCATTTAATACATATTTACATAAACTATTTAATCAAGCTTTTAAAATGTAATCAAATGAAAATTCAACAATTAATTGACAATAAAACTTTAAAATTAACATTTTTATTTTTTGTAAAAAACAGAACTGCACAACAGAACTGTAAAAATGTAATACATGGATGAATAAATATATTGGTTGTATGACATTCCTTAGAAATTAGAAGTACATTTTAGTATACAGTAACACGAAACTTGTCATAATTTCTTGAAGTTAAACTAAACTTTTCTTTAGGCGGTTTGTTGTTAGGATCTTTCAGTTTTAGTTTCAGGTTCAGCGAGCATTTGACTCAAATGAAATTTTCTCAATTTTCTTTTTTCTCAAATGAAATGGTGAAAAGCTTGTAAAGTGACTCAAACCAGCTCTGGAGAAGAAGTTCATGCGTTCATGTCGTGTTCATATATTGAGAAGTCAGACGCTGAAAACAGTCAGTGCCATGTGTGCTGATAGGCTGTTAAAATAATCCATTGAGTTAAAATGTCCAGAGCTTGTAGTTATTGATGTAAATTTCATTTGTATTGAATAATCATCAAGGCTCTGATTTACGACCAAAAGTTTGAGTGTACAAACAGATACTAGACCACTGCTGTATTAACAACACAGCTGAACTTCTTGTCTGGCATCATGCCTTCAGAGGCAGACGCACTGCTCTGTAAAGCCAAACAGAGTTCAAAGCTCGTGCAAGTGAGAGAGCCTGGGCCTGCGTCTCTGACACCATAAATCTCAGTACGCTCTTGTTTGGACATATAGCATTCTGTGTTATTATGAATGCATCCAGCTCTGGGCTCTACATTAGGGATCTCTGGCGAACGCGAATCTATCTCTGGGGTAATTACGACTGGGCTGAGATCCGCACCACAAGGCAATAAATCTCCAGCACAGGACTGTGAACCCATATCATCCTGCATGGCTACTCCGTTGCGGATCACAGAAAAAGCAGATACAGATTTTTGCAGGTAATCTGAAAACAGTGCAGAATGCTTCTGAATGAGATTTGTGGGATATATTAAAGGATATATTTAATTTGCAGCACAGTGGAAAGCAAAAATGTGTTGTGTGAGAATGTCCCCTTATACTTTAAATACTGAAATTACTGACAGGCAAAACAGTTTACTCACAAAATGACAAGCTAAGATTTTACACTGATATTGAGCTGATCGCATTTCACAAAAAAGATAAAAGTGATCCGAAAAAAGCCAATTACAGCATTTGAAAATAATATATTGTTTATATTAATATCCATACACGAAATACACTGAAGCAGCAATGAAAGTACACAAATAATCCACTCCTTAAGTAACAGAAGCCATCTAAATGAAACTTGACATACCTTGTCAACCAGAAATATTACATCCTGGAGGCAATTTTGTGCAGTATATTCACTTGAACATTAATCCATTTTATATCCTCAGTCACGGGGCAAAAAATGCTATATCTTGGGTTACAGAAAATGAACAGAATGTTTCTTTCTGCGTTCTGAGACATCACCGCCACATCAAACTCTGAAGCTGCTTTAACTGCGATAAGGGCAACAGCTGAGTGTTCAAAATGCTTGCTGTTCGGAAGGTGATCGCGCAAGGGAAGAAGCGGAGTGAGTGAATGAGTGTTCTGGGGGGAAGGGAGGGCGAGCAAAATCTCGGAGCCTGGAGGAGGGGAAGTCCAGCTCAGGAATGTAAATAGGACTTACCGAGGGGAGAGGCTTGTCTTTGGTGAGTTTCCTCTTCTGGAGAAGCCGAGAGCTCCGTCTCCTAGTTCCTGATCTGAAAGGTAAACAGAGAGCAGTCGATAAGGAGCCGTTGTGCAGATGTGGGCACAAGAGAAGCCTGGGAAATGCAGGAACGTCAGGCTCGATCCAAAGTGAGCCTGGTAGACATCAGATCTCCCTCGCAGAAATCCATCTAGGGTCTGCAGAGTGGTCTCTCTGGCGGCTCAGCTTGCACACTGACACCACCGAGTGTGTCACTGAGTCACCTCGCTCTCTCTCTCTCTCTCCCCCTCCCTCCATTCTTCCCCTCACCCTAGCTCTTTCTTTCCCGTGGAGGCTCCCATCGCCCTGCCTGCAGGCCCCATGCCAGACACTGCTTTTCATTTTCTGCAGTGAAAGTAATGAATCACATATGCGTCTCGCCAAGCACAACCCCCTCCCTCCTTTCTCTCCGTCTCTCTTTTTTTTTCTCCACACCCCCTTCAAATCACAGTTAGCCAATCCCATTTTTCTCTTCCTCATTGCCTCCTTCCCCCCTTTCCTTCTTTTTCTCAAGTCTTGTTCTTTTTAACACTTTCCAGCCCACTACCACCTCAAGCACAGGCTGGCTCCAGTGGGGGTGCAGACACATCAGTGCAAGCCGCCCAAGGTCTGGTGTGACTTATTATGGTGCTGACCCCTTGCCTGACCCTGGATCAGCCCTGGGGCTGCAGTGCAGGCTGAACCTGAAAGCACTGGGTATCATTTTACAAAATAAAAAAAATAAATAAAAAACACAGAAAGAACAGGGGACTGAACGACAGTGGAAACCTATGAGCAACAGGTGACCAGCATTGAGAGGAAAGAACAAGTACTTTGTTCAAATGTTAACAAGCCCAGTGTTAGTCTCACAGATCCCATGATGACAAACGTTTAGACTAGTGTTTTTTATTTATATATATATATATATATATATTGACCGATGCCAATATTTAGATGACAGGGTGGCTTAACGGCTGTAATATACCTGGCATGTATGCAAGTTGGAAACAAAAGTTTTTAATTTAAATGTTATATTATAATACATAATAATAAGATAATATATAATTATGTTTGACAGAAGTCTCTTATGCTCACCAAGGATGCATTCATTTGATCAAAAGTATAGAAAAACAGTAATGTAAATATAACTTATTTAAATCTAAAATCTAGTTTAATCTATCTTAAAAGGAAATATATATTTATGTGATGGCAAAGCTGAATTTACAACAGCCATGTTGATTTACTACTTAAGAAATATTTCTCATTATTATCAACATTAAAATCAGTCGTTTTTTTTTTTTTTTGTAGAAACCTTTTCCAGGATTCTTTGATAAACAGAAAGTTCAAAAGAACAGCATTTATTTGTAGTAATCTTTTTCAGTATAAATGTCTTTACAATCACTTAATTTAATTTATCCTTGCTGAATGAAAGTATTAAACAGGCAGAGTGGTTCCACAGAGTGGAAAATGCTAAGCAAAAATTATTCAATTGAATTTTTTATATCATTTCGACTTAAATAAAACACCCAAAATACATATTTTTTAATTTGATATATTTTGTGTCTCCTGAGATTCGTTGCCTGATTAGGGTATAAAAAAGGACCATGTCATTAATCTGTTAACTGTTACTGCCACTGTATGTTTTAAACAATTATATCCCATTCTTCACCTGATCTAATGTTGACAAATTATATATCATTCGAAAGCTTACAAACTCAAGATTCAGCCTGTGAACCCCATTTTGAAATTGGACGTTGTGTCACCATAAAAACGGTACTCTAAATTCCTTTAATTGGCTCCTCCCCTTTTGGGCATCGTCATGTTTCATAATTTATGATCAAACCTTTTTTTTAATCTTGACAAAACACATTGTCAGAAAGGTCTGAGTCTTAAGGTTCCATATTGTGACAGAAGAGAAATTGACAGAAGTTTATTAATTTGTTATGGCAAAATGCATACAATTAAATTCAATGGAATGTAAGTCACCCGGTGGCTATTTTTGCTATTATGCCTAAACAAAATCTCATGGGAACTTCAATTGTTGTGATATCAACTTCAAATTTGGAATACAACTTGGTTAGATATATGGCTTTGATTCTATAGTAATTAGTTTTAAACTTCCTTAACTTTTTCATATTTTAATTTTAAGCGCTTTCACTTCAGCATTCTACTGACTGTTTTCTTTAAAACAAGACCAAGCATACACGAGACAGACCAAGCTTTCATATCTGATAAAAGACCTGATGAAAAAAAATCTCTTATGCTCCAAAAAAATACAATAAACACTATGTATCTCGTGAGACAAGTAGCCCGTTTTAGAGTTAATTTTTTCCCTAAAGAAAACTTAATGTCCAAATATAAGCTTGTTCAATGTATTTAGATGTGCTGCACTGAGAACAATCACCAGACAAGAGCCGGGCTTGTGCTAAAAGCATGCACTTTCCAGTCTTGAGCGGTGGTCTCTTTAAGGACGGGTGTTCTTCCACCTATTGTTAGTCAAATGACCCCCTGACCTCTGTTTGAGGAGGAGGGCATGACTGATCCATTATTCCTCAAAGGCTGTGTTCCTCTTTTTCTCCTCTCTCTTGCTTTCAACTGGTCCCACTCCCCACCCCAACCCCCATGACAGGGTCCTGCAAGCCCATTCGCTCATGACTGAAACCCCCAGGGTTTAGGCAAGGTCCAGGGAAAGTGTTGAGTGGCCCAGGATGGAGGGAGGGAGACTAAGGTATGCCTGCCTCCTAAACCCAGGGCAATCCCCTCTGTGTCATCACTGCGGTCATTGTGCAGATTAATGAAATGTTTGAGTGGTAGCATGCTTCATTTAACAGGTATGCACACTTTCAGCTCTCTGTCCCGTGGAGTTTTGTTCTCTGGCTCTCCCTCTCTCTGCGACCTGAGGAGGTGGGGGGGATACAGCTGACCACACATTCCACATGCACAGGGGAGTGGAGAAAGAATGGAAGGATGAGGAGAAATTGGAGAAGAGAGTGCAGGAAGCAGGAAGCTGGCCAGTGGGAAGTACCAGCTAAAGATCAGTGTGGTTCCCCGTCTGTGTGTCTCACCTGCTGGGGAGCTCTCGGACTGGGCGATCAGTGCAGCCATAGCGGAGTTCGGATTCAGCCTGTTTCCGAACATATGGGATGGCGCCAGGTTAAAGGATCCCGGTAGTGAGTTTGACTAAAGAAGAAAAGCATAAGAAAGAGAGTTAGACTAAAGATGTAAAACCTGTCAAATTCCAAATATTTCGGGTGCCTAAGTGCGTGTCCCTGCATGTGCGTGTATGAATGTGTGCGTCAGCATTGGCCAAAGAGCTGGATGATAAAAAAATACCCTGTCAGCTGTATTTCCTGTGAGCCAGGAGAATTGGCTGAGCCTGCAACAGCAGATCCACAGCCCTGTACAACATGCAGACCATGTGCTTCTGCAGCTAATTATTTAATCCAATTACGCTATTTTCCTAACAGTGGTTGGGATTGGTTGCGGTGTTGCTTCTGAGATAGCAGCATGAGTGCAACAAACTTGGTGAATGGTGGAAACCACACAAACCTTAACATGACTTGAATTTAACAAACACTTTTGCAGTAAAACAATCTTGTAAATAGCAGAGAATAATTGGGAGGATGAAGAACTATCGAGAACTGAAGAATTACTACATAAAAGAGATGATTATTCATATTTATTCAAATTTACAGACCCTGCTATCAGCAAGGATGCAATAACTGAATCAAAAGGGGTGTTTTTCTTCTTCAAATCAGCATATTCAATTGATTTCTGAAGGATTATGTGACATAAATGGCTAATAAAAAAATCCACTTTACCATCATTTACATTTTAAAAAAAAAGTAAGCCTGGGTGAGCATAAGAGACGTTCATTTTATTTATTTATTTTTTACAAATCTTACTGACCTCAAACTTTTTATATGTTGGGGGTGGGGATCAATACAATTATGCATTTCATACAACACACCCTATTTTCACCATCCTTTTTCTCACTGCATATTTTCATAAAATCAATACATTCTTTCCTTTTCCTTTCTTTGCTTTATCTACATCAAGGCCTTATCTGATCCAAACAGGAAATAATGCTTGCTGAAATTACAATGTATTGGATTTCTTGCTCTGTTATTTTAGAATAATGTCTGTCTAACTTAAGGATTTCAGACCATATCAGACTGAAATACAATTGATGGAAACCACTCTTGCAAATGGCCAATGAATAGACACCCACAAACCAACCTTGAAAACCTTGCTTCTTTTATGGCTCTTTACCTAACAAATACAACATGTAAAATTGTTCTTTATGGTTTCATGCTTTATTTGGACATGGAGCGAAGTTTATCAGGAACTCCAACCCTAAACCGGACATTGAATTTGAACTGCCTTGCCTATTAAAATTGTAAAAAAACAAAAAAAAAATTGCATGCCAATTCTTCGAATATTATTATTAACATTATTATAATACATATTAATGGTTTGGTTCTAAAGAAAAAAAGGAAAAAAAGTAATATCCTGCATTCCTCTGGCCCCTCATGGCCCCGCAGGCCCTCCCTATTCCTCAGACTCCTCTTTCAGGCGAGAGGAGGGAGCATGACCAGTATGAACAGAACCCCTCATCCCACTACACAGCTCTCTGTCCAGCCTGTCAGCCCTCATCCCATCAGCGAGCAGAGCTCAATGCGCCCGCACAGGGAAAAGAGGGACAGCCGGATTGTTTGAGGCTTACGGCTCTCAGCGCCATTGTAGAGGTTAACGAATAGTGGGACAGAGGTGGGCCTAGGGGGTGTGTGCTGGGGTCGAAGGTCACCGCTGCCCAGCTTGCAACCACTGATTTCTTTTTTTGTCCAACCATTCTTCCATCCACAAAGGGAGAGTTAAGAGATGGAGAAGAAGAAAAATTTCAAATATCTCAGGGACAGTCATGCTGATGGATGACTGTTTGCACTGAATATATGAAGAGTTCAGATGCAAAAGCCTCTAAATGCCATTTGAAATTTTCTTGTTTAATGATGATTTTTATCAAACTTGTATATTTAAGTTCAGTTATTTCACTTAAATAACAATTAATAGGTAATTATCATTGCCTTTAAGTGAAATCACTGAACTTAAATATACAAGCTTGATAAAAATGATTATTCTAGAAGAAAATTTCAAATGGCACTTAGAGGCTTTTGCATCTGAACTCTTCATATGATAAAACACCATGTTATACATCAAATAAAAATGAATTCTATTCCTGACCCCAGACATACTTTTAAAAACATCACCTGTTTTCTGATCTGCTAACTACCTAGTAAAGAAAAAAGTCCATCATATTAAATCTCTTCATGCCTAATGGATGATATTTGTAAGCGTGCGTTAGAAAGGGCTGGACCGCCGAGAGCCCTACAGCATTAAGGCCATCAGTGGGTTTACTTCATCTCCTAATGTAAGGCCACCCTGCCTGCAGAGAGGGCAGATCTGCACAAACAAAGCCCTGTTGCTTAGAAACGACCGGTTGCTACAGCAGTGCAAGTCAAGACAAAGATGCTCAGGAGAGCGGCAGAGATGGTGCTCAGTCTCTAGTGTGCTTCCAAAGGGCCTATTTGGAGCAGCGCTGGGAGCCTGTAAGAATGACTTTACTTTATTAATGCAATCTAAACACACGCAGGAGTTCGTTAATGTGTGGGAGGGGATTCTGAAGTCGCCGATTCATTTGTTCTGTATTTATTAATGATTTAAATATTATTTCATGAAGAAAGGTATACTTTAATTCAGAAAAAGGCATTAAATTTATCAAAAATGACAGTAAATAAATGTATAATGTTACAAATATATATATATATAATGATAATAATGTTTCTTGAGCATTTAGAATTAGAATGTTAGAATCATTTCTGAAGGATCAGTGATCAAGATTCAGCTTTGCCATCACAGAAATAAATTAAATTTTAAGATATATTAAAATGCAGCCCTGATGAGCATAAGAGATTTCTTTCAAAAACGTCGAAAAATATCTATATTTATACAAAATATAATTACTGACTCAAAGCGACATATATAGCCAATTACAGCTCTTTTCTCACAATGTTTATTTGACCACACATACTTCTCTGACTGGCTAATGCAAACACAATCACATTCATCCATTAAGACCATATACTTAAGCAGCCTAGTAATAAATACCCAAAATGACTCAAAACACTGTCTTTCAAGAGCTGAAAAATTAGGTCTGAAGTTACAAATTTTACTTCTCCCACTGACATGTTATGTAGACATGCGGCCCTTAGATGGCTTCCTTCGTACTGTTAATATTACTGTCGCAATTACATAAATATTGCATTAGCACAACCTGGGCACTTGGGAACCAAATTCATTTGTTCTGTAGAAAAAGAAAAAAGGGAAAAATCACAATCACATGCGAGTTACTTAAAACATAATTAGCTGCACCCAGCATTTACATCTGAGCCTTTTAGGCGTTAATTACTATTTGTGCCATGAATGTGCTTAAACAGCAATTATTTTGATAAAATTGGAGCAAGTTAACACAGTACAAAAACTATGAGTAAAATTCTATTTAACTGGTTAATTTTGGGAGAGATAATGCATTACAGATCCGTGTGAGCACTGAGCAGAAACTAAGTTGTGCAATTAGCTCCATTTTCTTCGCATGTATACACTACTTTTCAAAAGTTTACGGTCGGTAAGATTTTCTTTGTTTTCAAAAGTTCTCTCCGGCTGCATTTATTTGATAAAAAATACAGTAAAAACTAATATTGTAAAATAGTATTGCAATATTTTCTATTTGAATATATTTTACTATGTGTTTTTTTTTTCCTGTGATGAAAAAAAATTCCTGGCAAAGCTGAATTTTCAGCATCATTACTCTTGTCTTCAGTGTTACACGATCCTCCAGAAATCATTCTAATATGCTGATTTGCTGCTCCAAAAATGTTTCTTATTATTGTCAATACTGAAAACAGTTGTGTGTAAAGCTTTGTTTCGGTGGAAATGATGATTTATATGAATTTTATTACCGTCACTTTTGATCAATTTAATGCATTAGCTGAATAATAATAAAAAAAAAAAATTACTGACCTAATGGTAGTGTATTAGTAGCTAAATCCTAAACAAAAATTAGGGATGCGAAACCAATCCGATATAGCCATTTTTGCCGGATCGGTTATCGTCAGACGAGGCCGATCCAAATCCGATATTGTGCGTAGGCCTATATTACTATTCTGTGTTATAGTTAAGCCCCACAAAAGGCACAAAAACATTATAAAGTACCATAAAGTTTTCCTGCAGTATTTTATAAGTGTTTTGAAGCCATTATATAGTATAATGCAAGATATAACTTAATATTTAAGTCATTAAATTCAAGATCAAGTAAACGTTTCCCTCCGCTGCGACTGTCAGCCATTCGGGTGCGAAAGCCAACACGATGAAACTCTCAAAGGTGATTCAATGTTACTATTACTTGATCAGTAGATAAAAGATGCTTTTGCATTAAACAACTTTATATCGCAGGACTTCATTGCTGTAACTAAATCATGTAATTTTTCTACCAGGTGTCTGTTAGATCACAACACTAGAGTAGAATCAGAGCACTATAATTGTTCTTCACGTGCACAGTATCTGACATATAAGGCTCAATACACTATTGCATAGATAGATACTGTATAATACACTACGCATCAATATGCATTTCCTTTGTGGTGCTTTAAACTTTTGAATGCGGACTCGACGCGCCGCACACTGTGACTCCATGTGGCTTAAAGCGCATCATTCTACAAAGAGCAATGTGTAACGTTTTGCCAGATTTAGTTACACTTACTTTTTATTAGTTGCCCACTAAATGTTTCTCACTAAATATTCAGATTTAATACAATAATTGTGCACTTGTGATTTTTCTAGACTTAATTTTACTGCTGAATTATCCACTAATCTAGCCTGGGGAAAACCCAGACAACTTCAGGCAAATTTAGATTTGCTCTGCAAGTTAGTCTGGCAAAGAGCTCATTCAAGCCCAATTCTAAGCCGTTGAAATCGCGGCACCAATCAGAAACGTTGGGGTGGGCTTTCCACGATGGCGAAAGCACAGCGACGGTGAAGCAAATTTTGTACATTTACAAAGATGGATGCCGCCGTGGAACTAGGGGTGTGATGATTATAGTTGAACACCCACATTGGAACAATATAACCGCCAAAAAAAAAAAGGTTATTAAAATATTTGTTTCACAAACATTTTTTATCATAGAGAATGTTTAAATACTAATATTAGCTTACGAGGGAAACGGAGGTGGAGTTAGTGGTGCTTCGGAGGCTGCTACTGCTAGAGATGATTCGGGAGAGATCTGTGCAGCCCCCCTCCCAAGAGGAGAAATCTGGGAGATCTCCTTAATAAACAGAGGTCTGAAATCTCTGCCCCTTTACCGATCAGAGCAAGCGCTGACACGGAGTAAAGCCTTGTTTATACTCGACGCACCCGCACAAGCGCGAAGGTGTAGAGCAAGATCCCATTTCACTTGGTTGTGTGCACGGCTTTTTTTGTAACAGCGCGCAAATCGCCACGTCAGAGGATGAACAACTTCAAGCCGAATCTGCCTGTGCGTCTCATCGCATCGGGACCCAGTTTGCAAAGTTCATTGCAAAGTTTTTTCTGTTAAGGTTTTGTTTACTGTGTGTGATTTATTTAATGGAAAACACATTCACTTCTAGTTGTCTTGCTGTTAATTTTAAATAAACGTAGAGCAAGTAGCTAACCAGTCTCTGCTCATTTATTATCGGTTTTGAAAAAGCGGTATTGTTGCATCCCTAATAAAAATATCTTATGCCGTTTTAATATAGCCTAGGGATGCTGAATCACATTTTTATGCTCAAATCGATTTCTTTAATTCATTCATCCATTTCACCAAAAGCAAACCAAATTCGGTTTTGAAATAGTCAAACAAACATGAACACATAATTAGGTCTGTTAAATACTCACATGTGTAGATGAAGTGCTGGTGAACGGGGCGGTCGGGGGTAGTGAGGTGAGAGTGGGCATTGAAGTGACCACAGACTGATGAGCAGGTAACTCAGAACTGGATCCGGAGAGAGACCCTCCAAGCACCGTACTGGACAACGAGCAGGCTACATCACTACTGCTGGGGTACGAACCTGCAAAAAGACAGCAATTACAGTAAATTATACAAGAAAACCAGCACATCTTCAACACTCTCCAAGACAAACAATTTCTTCTTATTCTCAGTCAAAAATAACATTGTTTTGTTTATCAGCAGGGTATCTGGCATAACAACTGGGGGATGTGAAACAAATCAACGCAGGTTATGACCTGTAATCTAGTGGTAAAAGAAAACTTTTAATAGCTGTAAGGGCAACCTCTGTCCTCCAATATACCTTCACTGGTTATCCATCTATCTTTCTAGCTGCCCCTGAGATGAACTTTGTGGACTTTGAATGGCCTGTCTGACCAGGCCCTCATTACAGCAGACATCGAGAGCGAGCACAAAGCATTTCTGAGTCCTCTCAACATGCACTCTGCACCGGCCTCCCGGTGACCCAGAAAACAGTTCCCTGAATCTGACTACTCACTATTTCTTCTGTAAAAATGACTGAGGGCTTTCCAGGCGTGGCGGGAGTGCGGCCCATTCATATTTATTTGGCGGTTCTTGACATGCACGCTGTTTGTTGTTGCCGTTGTTTTATTGATTTTTCTCTCTTTTCTCTCTCCCTCCTCCCCTGCCACCATCTCAAATAAACCCAGCTGATGGCCCAGGCTGACCCGTTGGAGGAACGAGAGAGGCCCCCTTGCCACACAAAGGAATGAATGGCTCGCGGCAGTCTACATTCACTGCTGAAACAAGGAAACATTGTTGGGCGGAGAGGTACCACGTGAAGCATTTACAGTACCAAGCTCTGAACTCCACATATAGAAAGGAAGCTTACACACCACTGTGTCACGGTATTCCATTTAATCCCAATTCGTTTAAATTTTAGAAGATTTGAGAATACTAACGGCTAACTTGATGCATTAACGATTGGATCAATCTTTAAATCACCGTGTTGATCAGGTAATCTGGTAAATAATTAACATTTCACAAAAGGTCAACCAACAGTGCATTTGATTAGAGGTTACAAGACATGAGCGACCAAACAAAGCAAGGACAAAGATCCTGTTATCTGGTGCTGATCGAACGAGACCGATCGATCAGGACTTAACATCGTCTCCTGAACCCCCCCATATCAAATCAGGGGAAGAGAGGGGAAATTTCAAATTAGATTAGCCAGCATTTCAAGTCAAACCCCTGTCTCCTCTCTCAGCAGAAAATCCATGCGAGTTCAGAGGGAGGTTAATGACGAGGCCCAGAACCTGATAAGGATCCTCTGCACTTTTCTTACGGACGAAGAGAAGAAAGGAGGGACTGATTCGAGGTATTGTTGCACGGCAGTAGAACGCATTTAGGCCTTTGACGTGACAGATGTTTTTAATTTAAATGTGGTATCATAAACAATAATCGATGTCTTGAAGTGTTTTGTGTTGGGTTACTAGCTTCAAGATTTGTTGCATCAAATGCGAAGAGTCAGTCAGGCTTGATGTTTCGAATGTATGCCGACAGAGAGCGATAAGTTAGGGCGCACGGCTGCAGTTAACGCAGCAAATGCATGCATTGCTTGTCAATGTTTACTTGAAAGGTCAGAACAGCTGCACAGTTTCATCCTAGAGTAATAAATCCAGGCTTAAAAGGATAGTTCACCCCAAAATGAAATTCTGTCATTATGTGCATCGTGTTGTAATATCACCAAACCTGTTTGACTTTCTTCTGTGGAACATAAAAGATGATATGATGAAAAATGTCTCTGTGTTGTTTCATCCATATAATTAAAGCCAATTGGCTTAAATAACTTTTATTGTATGGAGAGACAAAATTGTATTCAGTGTATGGAAAATATGGTTCAAACATTCTCTTTCAGGTACATTGCGTTTTAAAAATGCAAGACACAGGGCAGTGAAAAGAAAAAACAAAATGGATTTTTTTAATATATAGAACTTAATTTAACTTGTGGGTAACATTTTTAGTTTCACACTGAATCATGTGCAAGATACTACAAAGAAAAATATATTGCAAAGAAGTCCATCTAAATTATATTTAATTTTTTTTTGTAACCCCATTAAGTCGACAAGCATACAATGCATAGTGTTTTAAAATCTGCTCAGTTATCAAAAGTTGTGTTGTCTTCCAGCCTTAACAGTAAATTGTGCTCATTTGTCTCACCCAGCTTTTCCTTCTAATTTCAGATGAAAACCAAGAAGAACCATTCCACCCTCTCCAAATAACACCCTATAAAGCCCTACACCCGGCCGGGGCTGAGATAGATGTTTGCATTTAATAATAGCTCCCACTGCTCCCCTGATAGACCAGTCATCCATCCATCCAAAAAAAGAGAGAAAGAGGGCTGGGAGCAGTAGAGGGAGGGTGAGACAGATAGATGAGGTGGAGCACTCTGCTGTAGCCCTGCATTAGCAATGGCTAAATATTTACAGTCCAGCCAAAGGCCAGGAACAGGTGAGGGCAGAGATGGGTGGGAGAACAAGCACAAAACAAACAAAAAAATCCTTGAGAGAGGGGACAGGGTGATAGTGAGATGGCACATAGCAGGGAGTGAAAGAGAAAAAAAAGACACCAGATTTAAGTTCTAATCAGAAGGAAAGAAACTACAAAAAAGCCGGATGGTTGCCAAGCAACAGTGCAGCACCACAGATAAGGCCCGTTTAACATTCTAACTGGCATGTGTACGCTTATGTCAACGTCTAGGTTTAGCAGGTGTGAGTGAGTTAGTGCCAGGAAATGAGTGAGAAAGAACGTAGTATGTGCACCAAGATCGCAAGTTCTGGCTCCAGATTAGTGAACGGGAAGGCCAGTAGGGGTCAGGGCATTTCTACACACTATCTTTAACCAGTAAGTGATGTCGGCTCACTCTAGATCCCGAGCGAAGACAACGACAGGGAGGAACAAATAAAATTATAACTAATTGCCTGTTACGGGCTCCTTCCCTTTTCCAGCTCCCTCGGGCTCAACAGGTTAATGTGCATCTCTATGGAGATTCAGCGGGCCACTCTAAGCTCTCAATCAGGTAGGAATGAGGAAGCACTTTAGAGAGCACCTCCATCCACTTTTATCCTAATGAGCTTCAGCACAGACCAAAACAACAACATACTGGTTCCCAGGCTTCTATTCGAGAAAAGCAGACCTCAAATGGATTCTCTTTTTCTTTTTTCTCTTTTTTTTTTTTTTTAAATAAATAGAGATGGAAAAAACTGCAATTCATGGAAAGATTAAGATGAATTAGAGGAATTGAACTGACTGGGATATCGAAGAAAAAAAAAAACCCCACCAATGAGTAATTCCTGAAAAATAATTATCTCAGATCGACCAAAACATGCCAATTGATGATAGCCAATTTTTTATATGCTTCCATTTGTATGGGTCCAAGAAAAAGAAAAGAAAAACAGTAAAGGTAAAAAAAAAAATAGTGACAAGAAAATGTCAACAAGAACGTTAGGAGAAATTATTTGGATTAAATAGTGTGTGTAGACAAATTAAAAAGAAAAAAAAAAATCACTTCAGCCATGGTAAACGTCATTTGTAATATGAAAGGAATAAAAATGAGGCTTTGAATGTAAAAAATGGAAATAAAAAAACAACATTGGCTGAAAAAAATAGAGATATCCATGGACCTCAAAGTCAACATGAAACAGGATGGGACTTCAGAAAAATACGGCAAAAATTACGTCTTAATACGGCAGATAGCTATAAAACAAGAGGGGTTGGTGATGTCAGCTGAAATAATTTCAAAGCAAATATGCACTTTTTTCTTTGAACTATTGTGTGCAATGTTTTTTTATATATATATATATATATACACATACATATATAAAAATGTCTAAATTCATGTTTAGCATTAAAAAGAATGATTTTAGTTATTTTTTTATTTAGAAAAAGTCGTATAGGATTTTAGGGCTTTTAGGGCTCATCCATTCTAGGGCTAATTACGATTATGAGAAATCTTATACTTCCACACAAGCACAAATCAAAAGAATGTCAACTTGGACTCAGGAAACAGACACAGTTGGGCTATATTACCCATTCATTTGAACAGAATATCTCAATAGAGAATGCTAAACTTTTGTGTTTAAAACTTCTTAAAACTTTTTTTAAAATCTTAACTTTTTCGAGTTTTAAGTTCATCAGAATTTGTATACACAGTGCAGAGACACTGGGTACACATGGTTGCCACTTTGAGATGATTAAGTAAAACACTAGGAAGAAAGAATAAGTATCCATTTAAGAGAACATTTTGATTGAGGGACCTTAACTGACATCTGGCAACCCAAAGCATGAAAGCTAGAGGTTTGTTACCAATGCAAGATAATGGAAATGTCAAAAGAAGAAGAAGAAGAAGAAGAAACAGGATAAATAACCAATGTGCCAATGTCAAAGAAATCTTGATCAAGATTTAAATGATTAATCATGTAACCCTTTTGTTATAATTCTTCCTTATTAGCGAGAATTCGTGCACATTTAAACAATTCACAATAAACAGGATTAATTAATTTTAGCTGAATTAGCAAACTTTAAACAAATTAAAAGCATCTTATGGCTCTCTCTGCTCACCTGGTCCAGCAGGTGGGGAACTGACAGTCATACCCTGTAAGTTTCCATTCCTGAGGAGGGATGGGGACTTCTGAATCCCCAGACTGCTGCTCCCAGCACCCACTGCTCCCACACCTCCAGTACTGCTAACGGTGCTCCCACGGCAGGACATGGTGCTCATGGAGGATGGCGAAGGGGAGGTGGATGAGGGCATTGTGGATCCGTGCTCTCCGGTATCAGTGGTTTTACCGTCCTGGGTGGTAAAGCACGGCCCATACCGGTTCCTCCAGTTCCCTCTCTTCTTCTTCTTCACTCCATCCTCGCCTGTAGATGAAGATGATGTCGCAGAGGAAGAGGACGAGGAGGGCTGGGGTCGTTTGTAGCCGGCGGAGGCCAGGCCACCCAGCTCTCCTGCTGGGTGACAGTTTTCATAATGCTTGCTGGAGCTTTGGGGGAGGGACATCACGCTGAAGGTGTTGAGAGCCACCATGCCTTCAGAGGCTCCGCTTTCTGCACCACCCTTCAAGTGGCAACGGCCAAAGGATGGAGGCGTGTACGAGTCGCTGGCCCTCAGGCTGGGATCAGAGAAGCTGAGGAAATCAGATGTGGGTTGAACCACAGACCCACTAGTGGCTGATTTACTGCTGCTGCTGCCTAATAAAAGACCTGAGAGAGAAAGAGATAAAAGATGCACTTTAAATGTCACAACCATATTAACAGACAGTCAGCATAAACCAAAAGAGGTGTGGCATGTGGTCATAAAACAAATACCTTTTTGCTGCATCAATTTTTAAGGACACAGAAACACAGCATAGCTGCAGCTTGTAATATTGTATAAATTATTTTAAATTCTGTCCAAAATAGTTTAGCAACTTTTGCCACAATGTACACAACCATTTACCTCACCATTGACAGAATTTTCTGTCATTTATGAAACTGCGCTTCACCGTCATTGACGGCTTTTTGTGTTTTCAGTTATACTGTGTGGGAGTAGGCATGGGCGGTATCCAAATTTTCATACCGTCAAACCTCCTCCCTATTTTACCGCGGTATACGGTATTACCGCTTGACTAATTAAAAATTACGAGATAAGGCTCAGACGCATCACACATGATGACACGTTCAACCAGAGAGTGTCGGGTCCAATAATGCATCTAAAAGCTGTCAATCAACTATTAGAAAACAGGAGATGCACATTGTCTCACACCAGAGAATGTGAGCAGAGTGGTGATATTTCCTCTAGAGAGGGAAGCGCATTTCTGAAGATCACGCGCCGCGAGCTCTGTCCACTCGGCGACGCAAGCCAAGTGGAGCCGAGATAAAATTATTTATTAATAAACTAGTGTTTTCTATGTCAGTTGCTGCAAAGATAGGCTAAAGATTGGATTGACGATGCAAACTGGCATCTTCACGGTAGTGAACACGAATAAAGAGTAGCCTAATGCACACTTCATATGAATAAGCCTAAAGCAGAGAGCAGCCCATTTCTTTTAGCTTGTAATTGTTTTGTTTAAAAGTATAGACATTTCAAGCTTACTATATATATACACTTCTCAGATCATTAAGACATGTATCTTATATGCCGAGTTTCAGTTCATGTATGAATCGCGCTCCAGTCACGCGTCGGCGCGTGTCCTGATTACTATCTTTGCTTTTTATTTATTAATCCAGGCAATTCGTTGATGAAAAAAAAAATAAATGAAGATGCAATTTATTCAAAACGAAATTCGTTTTAAAGAAAGGCTTTGTACAAAACAAAACGTAATAAGTGGTCATAATCATGTCTGACTGACCCAACGTGTTTTCTATGTAATTTGCTGCAAAGATAAAGATTGCATTGACGATGCAAACTAGCATATTCGCGGTAGTGAACGCGAATAAAGAGTAATGCACACTTCATATGAATTAGCCTAAACATAAGCAGAGAGCAGCCAATTTCTTTTAGATTGTTTGTTTTGTTTAAAAGTAGACATTTCAAGCTTACTATATACACTTCTCAGATCTTGTTTCTTATATGCGAGGTTCAGTTCATGTATGAGTCGCGCTCCAGTCATGCGTCAGCGCGTGTCCTGATCACTATATTTGCTTTTTATTAATTAATCCAGGCAATTCGTTGATGGAAAAAAAATTAAAATGAAGATGCAATTTATTCAAAACGAAATTCGTTTTAATGAAAGGATTTCTACAAAACAAAACGTAATAAGTGGTCATAATCATGTCTGACTGACCCATTCCAAATGTTTTCCGGTATTGCGCATTTTATGATCTTATCTTATTTATCTCATGAAGTTCCCTTTTCATAAAATCAACATACATAGAAAAACATCATATTATTAAAAAAATTTTTTTCAAACCTAGCTTATATTTAAGCGTTGTACGGCCCTCCTGCTGTAGACTACATGCATGTGGCGTGCCTGTGGTGGTGGGGCACAATATTCAAATAATAATCGAATAATACCAGGCAATCTTTAAATATTATTTTTGCTTGAAATGCCCATCCCTGCCAAACTGCAGAAGTCGTGTTCTTCTTCGAGACCAAGTCACTCGGTGCGCAACTTTCAATCTTTGCCCTCTCTCCCCCACTCACCACTGTCACGTCATGAGAACCAGATATAAGCATTTTAGCCATTAAATAAATTGTATTTAAAACATTGCATTTATATAGGAGACAAGGATTCCTTGTCTCCTATTTAAGTGCATTGTTTTTTTTTTTCTGACGGTATGACGATATTGAAACTGATACCGTTGCTATTTTTAGATCCCGCGGTATATGATATTACCGTAATACCGCCCAAGCCTACGTGGGAGCGCTATTACACATCTTCAGAAAGAGTACAGAATATCTGTGATCAAAACACAGGCGAAAAAGAAGCAGAAACAAGTGAAGGCATAGGCTATGTGAGCAGATGCATATGTAAAATAATGGCAACTCTTTTTTAAAAATGCTGGCAGCGAAAGAGTTACAAGGGTTGGTAAGATTTAAAAAGAAAAATCAAACTCAAACTATATTAGTTGTCCGAAATGAAAACAAAAAATGTTGAAAAGGTAGGAGGATCAAGGATCTGATGCTTAATTTTTCCTCCTGATCTGGCATACAAAAATTAAACTAATACACTGACTTAACTTTACCTCTTAGATGAGAAGGTTTTAGTTTCAGAGTCGGACTCAAAATTATTCTTGATAATTCTAAAGAAAAGTATTTGAGAATATTTTTGAAAACTATTTTCTGAAGAAATCAGGAAATTTCATAATCTGGTGGACCGGTCAATACTCGCAGGAAGCCAAACAATCAGGTACGTAGGCAGGCCAAAATGGTGACCCAGATCTAGGTGTTCATTCAGACCCTCGCCTCAGGCAAGGAGTCAAGGACTCGTCCTTTAACCAAAGTCAGAGAAACAACTCTGACGTGTATGTTTTCACAGCTGTGGCAAGAGGCTGCAGAGACTTTAAATGTTTGAGGGATAGACTGCACAGTAAAATTGGGAATTAAACACACACAGATAGATAAAGTAATATCGCCAATAAATATGCCATGACAAATAGATAACTAGCTACATTTTCTAATTGTTCCAAAAACACATTCAGGAATTTTGCTGTATCTTAGATTAAGCATGCTATCCATTTACTGCCTCAAGATGATCAAAATCTGTCTGAAAAGAGACCCAACTTAACTTAAAATCTTAAATCCTGCCTAAAACAATATTACTTTTCATCTACTATTTTTATATCAACAACAACAACAACAAGATTCATATAAGCGGCAATATACAAAACTTTACATATTACTACAGCTCTGTTATTGTCAAACACAAAGGACTCAATTTAATAAAAGATTGCTGATATTGTAATCTCTCATATACTTGGGATATTACATCAGTGTGGCCGAACAGGACAGTTGTGTGGGTTGGGTCTGTGTCAGGTGTTTTCACAACAGCCCAGAGAATATGACATTCTCAGTGAGAAGATTAGACTCTGCAGTTAATCTCCAACATCTTTTGATCTCATTGCACTCTGTTGAGAAAACACTGCATTGTTTCTTCTTCCAGGTTCCTTGCGCGTTTGTGCGTAACTCCAGCAAGGAGGCCCCTGCAGCACTTTGACACATTAATGATTAGTCTGAATTTTCCAGACGTGACCTCTGCTTCAATTCCTCCATCACGGCATGATAGCAGAAAGGAAGGGAACATGCTTCTCCTCTGACTCCCAAACCTCCCTCATAACACACATAAACACACACACACACAGACACCACCCACAGCACTGCCAGTTCAGAAAGACTCGCCGCTCCACATTACAGCGGCAGCCAGCCAGACGACAGCCTTATCGCGCACACGCCAAGCTTACGGCTTCTGGCTTCCATCCAGCTCTGTCACAACAGACTCACTCAAAATGTCACGCACAGGAAGTGGGCACGAGACTTGAATCTGGCCGCTCAATTCAGGAGCATGGAGAGGGTGTTTACCAATTCACCTCATCAACAATCTGAAGTGAAAGTGAAGTTGGCATGTTTAAAAGTCTCACCTTGCTGAAAAGGACTGGTCGAGGAGGGGGCCGTGGATGAAGTCGCAGTGGTGACCACAGGACCGTGGGTTTTGCTCGGCACGGACTTGCGGCCCCTGGATGCCGAGCTTGAGCTCGTGCCGTGACAGCTGGACTTCTTGCTTTTGCCATCCGAGCTCTTACCATCCGAGGAGCCGCCATCCTTGGAGCTGGAACTGGAGAGAGTTGGAACTTCCTGAAAGTTGGCATTGGTGAAACGGCCTCCACTGTCATCAAGTCGCTTCTGAGTGGAGGAGATGGAGGAGACACTTCCGCCACTGCTGCTGTAGCTCTGGAAGGGAATGCACACATGGGCAAAAAGGCTTAGAATGCACTTATTTGTTGACATTTGATGAACTCTCAGGCATATATCCTAGACTAATAGACAGGTGGACTCACCTTCTCAGAGGACACCATCAGTGCTGGCACCAGGGAAGGCGTCATTTCCAAAGACTTTTTGTGCTTTGGTTTGTGGCGATCTCTTTCTTTATGTTTCTGTGATGAAACAACAACAAAAAAACTTAATGAAGATGGTAGGTACAGCAAAGGTTTTGACTGAAGCCGGTACAATTTGGTAAGGACTGTAGCCAACACTATGAAGATCTTCCTGTAAAGAAAAATAAAAGGTATTCCTCTGGATAGGAAAGGATTCACATTGCAGGCCTGACCAGAGTCTACTGCAACTTAATTTACACCCCAGTCTAGTGCCGCTGTACACAGCTCTATTTGCGCCCGAGAAACGGGAGCGTGAACAAATTTACACCTCGCACTCCAATCGAACACCTCCAACCTCTCCGCTTCTGTTCTTAAGAGCATGGCTGTAAAAATATGCAGTGATCCTGAACCATTCGTAGAGGATATTTACACATTCCCCACTGGAGCGATATACAAACGTCTATCTTTTTTTTGCCCCTTTGTCATCTTCCAGCCATTGTCTCAGTTAGAATCGACAATTATTCTGAACATAACAGTTTATGCTACTTCTCTGTGCAAGTGATGGGGACAATTCCAGTGGCCCTCAGGCTCAAGTTTTTCAATGAAAATGAAAATGAGCTTCTGCTTCTTCTACGCCATTTACCATTTTCCTGCGTATACCATTTTAAATGCCATTTTCTTAGAACAGAAAAATCATACGTATTTTTTTTAAATGGTTGAAAAAGATTGCATTTGTATTGAATATGCATTGCTATTGGTTTTCATCTACAACCTACATATCCAAAACAAATGTCACTGTTTTTGCTTTGTTTAAAAATGATTTGCTTATGCTCCAAATCACATAATTTTAACCACAAAACCAAAATGACAATATTAGTGATGAAATAATTATAAATTTAACAGCATTTACTGAAATTACAAAGCTTTGTTAGGCCGCATTTGCTCTACAAGAAAAAAAAAGCTAATTTTCGAAAGGATTCAAAGACAAGACTCTTAGTCTTAATTAACATTGTTTCTAAAGGTGTTGACAAGGCAGTGTTAGCATGAGAAAAAAAAAAATCATGTCACCACTTGGCTCTGATTATGAATGGAAAAAAGAAAAATGCAAAACATTCATCTTAATTCCACCAAATAAATCAACTGAAACCAACTACATATTTGGACCCTTGTGTAATGACAAAATGCAGGTATGAACTGCTGTTTACTGGTCTAATTAAAATTGACATAAACGTCTTGAAAGAGTTTGACATGAGACGACAGCTATCTTAATTATACAAAGATGAATAGTTCAGGCAGAGGTGACTGAAGAAAGAGAGAACAAAAATGCCAAAGCATTTATCATAATTCATCAATGCCTTCAGCAGATTAGTGAAATGTAGAAAATCTCTTTCAGGATGAACAAAGAAATTACTCCCCAGGCTTCAGGCTAAGTATTAAAATTCAACTACGGAAATGAATAAATATAATAAATCTTTTTAAAAAAAATTAAATACAAAAAGCAAAAACTAATCATCCAGAAAACAAAGCTAAAATCCAAAATAGATTAGAATTTAAGATATGTGAGGCAGGAGAAGGAAGAGAAATTGAAAACATCATTTTATTCCCAGATGCCGCTCTCGACGGCCTCTCAGAGCACATCTGAACTAGCTGCAAATTGAGAAGCTTTTAGCCTCTATTGTTGTTTGGCCCTGGGGTTTGGAATTAGCTAGGTATACATCTGAGCCCCCCGACCTTTGACCTGGGAATGTGGAGTAGGGGGGATGGGCCCCCTTTGCTAATGCAAATCAGGCGCCGTAACAATAGCCATGGCGGAGCACAAGGCACTTTACAACACGATCTTCAAGAATACAGCTCCAACCCGAATCATTGTTAATGTCAACCCCTCTCAATACAGAATAAGGCGAAGATGTCAAATATCAGAATAATTTTGGGAGAAACGGTTTTAAATGGCATCTCATATTTAATCTTTCGCTGACCTAGATTATACGGGCTGCAGTGTCGGTCTTTGAGCAGCTTAAAAGAGCAACATCCACTCCATTTCGGAATGCATTTCCAATGCAAATGCATTCAAACAAATTCAAATAATTAATGAATTTGTGTCAAATAACCAACAGCCTCAATGACCAGCACTCCCCGCTGTAAGTGCTCATCTGACTATTGTGAGTATTCAGATTTACATTTAAGCACATAAATGTAATGGTTTCTTCACATTACTTTAAAACGATTTATAATGATCAAAATAATTAATTTGTTTTAAAAGATAAGGTAATAGTAAAATACAACACATGTGTGGTTGCACACATTACAACTAAACTGTAACTTTATATGCAGGCTGGTAAGCTTGCAGAATAGCAAAAATCCACAATTGTTACTTTTATTTATTTATTTATTTTTACAAAATGTCAAAAATATATCACTATTTGAAAAACAACTATTAAGCAGAATTATTAAATGACAAAAAAAAAAGATTTAGAAAAAAAGGTTCAGAACAGACAATTAAATTTATAATAATTCAATGTAAATCCTTGAAAAACACAATGAAACGTTTGAATAAACGTTAAATCAACACAGAGCCATTTTACTGATCCGGTTCAAATGGAACAATTCAGGCAAGCTATCGCTGATTAAGATGGCTGTACAGAGGCTGAGTGTTTGAAATATGTGGCCGGTGGGAGCTGCTTAGGGACAGGCAGAAAATTATAAATGACGATGGACAGATGTGATGAGCTCCTCCACACATTTCACACTATGAGGTCTGCTGGATTAGTATTTCAGATACTACCATTATTACAGTAAAAAGAGAAAAATACAGACAAGAGGCACAATCAAACGCATTTTTTACATGCACTATGGATCGTCTTCTGCCATTACGTACACATTTACTGATATGAGGCCATGTTGCAGGGCCTACCGCTTAATTGAATAAAATGAAAAGGCGAGCAGGGCTAATAATGCTACATGTTTCATTCGGTATGGCTGCGTATAGAAAATTAGTGGAACAAATGACTACACTACCTATCAATACTGATTAAACAGACTCTGTGGAACTAATGGCCATGACGGATGCTTTTTTATGCATACAGCACTCTTTATGTTGATAATTTGAGGCAGCATCAAAAATACTAATCACTTTGAGTGATAAAAGGCACTCTTCTCCCTCCTGTGGCTTTAAAAGCTTTGTGGGATATAAAAAGTGTGCACGTGAGGGTCGGCACAGGGTGACAGTGGCTCGTGTAATTCACATATTTCGGACAAACAGAGTTTTTGGTTTTGTTCGTTAACCTCATAGTCTGAAGTCGTGAGGAGGGGGGCATCAATCACACATGGCAGGAAGTGAGGTAGATCTGGAGGCTGCCTTACCTTCTTTTCCTTGTCATGGTGCTTATCCAAAGAGTGAGTGGAAGAATCACTTAAGCTTTGAGCCCTACTACCACGGCCTTTGCTCCTTCTCTAAAAGGTGAAAAAGGAACTTCGAGTTACATTTAAAGTCTGTCCAATTACCCTTTTTTCCCCTACTTCTCACTTCTCTCTCTTCTAGCAGCAATGAAAGCCAAAGAATACATATTGTCACTTATATTTGATTTCTCTATACAACTACAAAACAACATTCTCTATTTACCAACAGAAACAGCTGATTTTATATTTACGAAAAAAAGAAAAAAAAGCATGCCATGATGCATGACCTTGACATCCAAACTGACAAAAAAAAAAAACACCTTTGTAAAATGTGCCACATTTCTTTTTAAGTCAACAGTCTCTAAATCTGCTATTGACAACAAATGCCACAAAAAACCTCAGGTCACAAAATGGTCTTTGTTTACCAGCAGCTCACTGAAACAAAGGCCTACATGGAAAAGTCAGGGGTTAGTAGCCCACTATTGAACTATTAATCCACGAGACTGTGCTGATGCTGTCAGTCCATTAACATGGTGACAGGGAGACATGGTACATCCTGCAGAAACATCATGCTGTCCTGTACAATAGAGCAATCACCACAATGGATGACAACAAACAAAACAAGCAAGGTATTGTCACTTTATTCTAACAAAATGGGAGACAAAAACTTTTTTATATGCATTTAAAAAAATCAAATATATATTTATACAAATATATAAAAGTATACAAACCACTCAAAAGTTTGGGATTTTTTGAAATGTGTTTGAAAAGTAATTTATTGATAAATACAGTAAAAGTAATACTGTAAAATACAATTTAAATAACCATTTTCTACTTAATATATTTCTGTGATGGCAGTGTTACATTCAGCATCCATTAATCCAGTCTTCAATCAATCAATCAATCAAATCAATCAATCATTTTAATATGCTGATTTGGTGATCAAGAAACATTTCTTTTCATTATAAATGTTGATAATATGCTTAATGTTTTCGTCAAAAAACAAAAAAATAATAACACTTTTTTCATAAATCTTTGATGAATAGAAATTCAAAAGGACAATATCTAAATATTTTTTTTACTGTTACTTTTGATCAATTTAACGCATTCTTGTTGAATACAAGTGTAAATTTCTTTTTTTTTTAAATCTTACTGACCCCAAAGTTTTGAATGGTAGAGTATATTTATATATTTAAAAACCACTGATGCCAAAATCCCAACAGAAACCATGAAAAAAAAAAACAATGTAAAATATGAATGAATGCATAAAACTGACAACACTAACCAATCTGAAAAACAAAACAAATAAAAATGCTATGCCCCTAGAGTCCATTCCCTAGTAACCAGAGTAGTCAAAAGTGCTGAATGAAATAAAATGGTGTATACATAAATAAACATTACTATCCCTCCATCCTCAACTCATTACAATCCCCTATGAGAACATCACAAAGCGCTGGCCCTGCCTCCAGCCCCTCACTCTGAAAACCTGTAGAGGACTAGCAGTATCTGAGAAGCCTTTGTTGAGTGGGAGGATAGACACACACACAGCACGAATCTGAGAAGCAGCAGGGGGCTGAGGCTCTAAAGCTCAGTGTAGCTCCAGGGCTGGAGTGAGTAAAACCCCTTGCCACACACACACACACACACACACACACACACACCCAAGCCCACTAAGGACCGAGCAAAGCTGGACGGAAAACCACAGGCCGTTATGCTGTCACCGAGAGCTGCCACTGGGCAGTCCCTGTATCTCTCTGAAACCTTAGCCTGCTTTTTCTGAGAGGGGTATTAAGACAGAGTGAAGGGGGAAATGCAGGAAAGAGGGGGGATGATGGGAAGGAGAGGAAAGGAGAGCCACAGACAAAGGTCCAGTGAGTTGCTGTTGATTGTCAATGAGATTAAGGGGTTAAAGGGTTTGAGGGAGATCGAGGTGGGGGCGGCAGGGGCCACTGGGGTTGGACGGGGGGCTTATGCCACAGCTCAGCTTTCAGCAGCTGTAATTGGACCAGGAGTGCCAGACATTCGAGAAATGAGAGATATTCCAGATGAGGGAGTGTCTTTTTCGAGAGCCTGGCGAGTTCACGTGCGATTCTAGATGCGCAATAACAGCTTGAACAATGATGACATGGTCACAATGATGTGCTCAACGTGATTCATGTATAGGTGAATGTAAAAATCAGTCACTTAAGTGCTTTAGAAATGCCCTAGAGACATGAAGTATACCTCAAAAGATGAAGCACTAATGACAAATTACACAAACCATGACCATTAAATAATAATTGACAAGAAAAATCCATATAATTTATGGGAAAACCATATACACTTGCGTTCAAAGGTCTGGGGTCTGTAAGGGTGCTTACACACAAGCACTTTTGGTGCACACCTGGGTTCGAATGACATCAGAGTTTGGTTTGTTTGGATAATGTGAACTCTTCTCCGAATTCCTGAATACCCGCAAACTGAGCCAGAGCGTTCTGGGGTACGGTTCACGGTGAACTCCGGCATGTTTCTCACTGATGATATGAACGTAATCATACTAAATTGTGGAAATGAACCGCTATTAATGATGTAAGATTTGATAAAACTGTGTTTGTATGTGCTCACTCACTTTCCTGACAAGCATGACTAAAGCACTTCAAGCAGCGAGAATGTACATTTCAAATTTTTCCTGGATTCAGCATAAATGGACTCCCACGTTCTTTAGAACATTTGCAGTACATTCACGGCAGATAGACGGAAGTGTCATTACTGATACTTGTAAAAGAAAACCAAAGGTTCAAAAACCAAAATATAGAAGTGAGGTGAGCAACAATATGCATTTTGCCATCCTCATTGCATCGTCATTACCATCCAACAGGGGTAAACTGCTTTGATGACACAAACACACCACGGTTCGACCCAAATAATAGAAGTGAACAATCCAGCAAGGGCAGGGGGACGAGTAATCGAACTTTGGTTTGGACCAGGCAACCAAGTGTACAAGCACCCTATTTGCTCACTAAGGCTACATTTATTTGATCAAAAATACAGTAAAAACAGTAAATATTGATATGGTCACAAATTTATCAAACTATGTTAAAATATTTTAAAATGTAATTTATTCCTGTGATGCAGAGCTGAATTGTCAGCAGTCGTTACTCCAGTCACATGTGTGACATGATCCTTCAGAAATCATTCTTCTAATATGTCGATCAAGAAACATTTCTTCTTCTTATTACAATTGAAAACTGTTGTGCTGCTTATTATGTGGAAACTGTCCATTTTTTTTCAGGATTCTTTGAAGAATTTATTTGAAATAGAAATCTTTTAAAATGTAGCATTAATTGCATTTACTGTCACTTTTGATCCATTTAATGCATCCTTGCTGAATAAAATTATGAATTTCCTTCCCCAAAAAATAAAATCTTACTAACCCTAAACTTTTGAATGGAAGCGTATCTATTAGTATATGAAGAGTTCAGATGCAAAAGCCTCTAAATGCCATTTGAAATTTTCTTCTTTAATGATGATTTTTAGCAAACGTGTATATTTAAGTTCAGTAATTTCACTTAAATGGCAATGATAATTACCTATTAATTGTTATTTAAGTGAAATTACTGAACTTAAATATGCAAGTTTGATAAAAATCATCATTAAAGAAGAAAATTTCAAATGGCATTTAGAGGCTTTTGCATCTGAACTCTTCATATGCACAATGCAAAAATATTACACATTTTCGGTACAGTAACTTTTATTTATACTCAGTCTAAACGTCATTAATGGTTTAATTTAAAATGACATTTCTGTAATATCAGTGATTAAAGATTGTATCAGCGATTTCAGGCCCAAACATAAATGATCACATTCACGTAATCTTTCCTAACAATCTGCTAGCTGCCCCCCCATAAGCAGGCCGTCAAAAAAATGCGTCTCTGTAGGCAGCCTAGGCTCTGAGATCTGCACACAAAAACAATTGATTTCACCAACCACTCAAAACCAAAAAAGTGTTCCAACCAATCAGGGTGGGTGTTGTAAGGTTTTGCGCTCATGCACGGCTGCACGCGAAGTCGAACCTAAAGAAGAAGCCAGTGTCTATCAACGAACCCATGTCGGTGATCGGTTGGAACACTTTATTTTGGTTTTGAGTGGTTGGTGAAATCAATTCTTATTGTGTTTTTAACGGCCTGCTTATGGGGCGGGCAGCTAGCAGATTGTTAGGAAAGATTACATGAATAAGATCATTTATGTTTGGGCCTTTTTTGGGCCTGAAATCGCTGATACAACCTTTAAATGCATGAATGCTTTGGAATCAGTAGCAACGGTGCTTTGAGTCAGGGTGTAAAAGTTAAAAATAGTATGGTTTAGAAAAAGCAGATTCTTACCAGCTTGCTGTAATGGTACTTGCAGTATCCACAGTATTTCACATTATCAGCATCTGAGCCCTGTTCTTCACACAACAACCCAGCAAGCTGAGCGCTACATTCAAAGACAAAGAAAAAACAAAAACTTTAAAAAGACTGCACAAAGCAGATGAAAACAGTTCCAATTCAACTATTTGTTAAGTAGTTAACTAGTGAAATTTTTGTGTTGACACAAATTTCACAATTAGATTCGATTTCGATTCACACGCTTGCAATTCGATTCCGATTCGATTCAATATTCATTATTTTGGATATCGGTTACAATAAATGGCAAATTTTCTCAAGGAAATCAAATCTCTTAAGTAATGCTGTAAACTATGGGAGTCTAGTTGTAGCCTACTAGGCTTCATTAGCCTAATATGAAGGTAATAATGAACTGTTTTGTAGCTATACAAACACTTAAATTACACTTTTATTTATTTTTATAATAAGAAGATTTATATGAAATATAAACACTTAAATGGTGGCTATAAAAACTTGCCAGATTTATGCATTAAATATTGAAGAACATTAAGATTATAATGCATTTGTAATGCTCCTCTCTAGAGTTATTTTTTCTAGCTGACTAACAAGTTTATGTGGGTTTTCTGAGGTAAATATGACGATACATAACATTGATTACAAGCTGTTTAACTGATGTATTTCCACGGTTGAAATGCTGATTGAGTGAATCAATGTGACATGATACGGATTTCGATAAGTTGTATGCTATCTTTTAACACACTTTCAGATGCTCATTCATGTTTATTTCGCGTTGTAACTGGTGTTATTAAGCCGGAAGAGAGATCAGCGCTGCTGCTTCTCTTCAGCTGCGCCAGAGCGATCTCACGCCACAGCGCCAAAACGTTATTTATGTTTTTGAATTTCTAAAGAAAATGGACGGAATTTGAAAATTGATACTTTGTTTCATATCAATAGTAACAAAGGACAAAGATTATTGCGATTTTTTGGATGCGCGCAGCCATGATACAATGTTCCATTCATTCAAATACAACAGGATGACTAATCGATTCTTGAGATTTAAGAATCGATATCGGTTCGTAAAAATGAGAATCGATTAATATCGAGAAATCGATATTTATTACCCAGCCCTATAGTTAACATTGCTATTCCGATCCATGTAACAGATTACATAATTAAGGATATTAAGATACTTATGAGGACAATTAGCTGGAATATTAATGCTCTGCAACTCACCATGTGACATGAAAGGCCTGTCGGCAGCCATGTTTGTTGCATGTCATGCAGGCTCCAGAAGCAGCTTTGCTCTCACGGCCCTGTTCTTCACAGATGTAGCACGTCTAGAAAGAAAAACAGTCACCAAAGTGATTTCTCACATACAGAAAGCAGTTATTATGGTATATAATGCATTGCAGCACGGCCCACAGCTTGTTTAGCGTGAAGGCTCAACCAATTTAGCAAGTCTCTCAGAAGCCGCCCTTCCCAGCGCCTCGATTATTAGGCAAGTGATAACCATGCCATTTTAAATTGGCTCACAGTGAGGACTCAATTACCAACAGAGCTGAATCTATTTTATCCCAGATTTTAAACCCACTATTTCAAGCATGAGATTAAACTTGGCTCCTTAGTCCTGCAAATCATCAGACACCGTATTGAATCCAAATCATACAACACTAACTGATTGTATTTTACTCATCTACTGCATCGAAGGGCATCCATAGAAAACAAAACGTAATTAGGTTTTCAAATGAAAAACGAAAGAACGTTGTCATGGCATATCCCTTAAGTACTTGATCTAACATTGTTTTTGTTTTTTTTATACTCGCGGTTGAGCATAAAGTTCAGCTAACGTCTAAACATTTGGACTTTGCAAATTGCAATTCCTCTTGAATTACAGTGATGAAGAGTAGTAAACATATACACCTGCAAGTATCCCAGAACCCATCAGTTATACAAACCAGTCAGTTTACTATATACGGATTATAAAAATTATTTGTAGCCTATTAAATATTTTAATATATAAAATTATGTTTTAAAATACCTTTTTATATTTTCCATAATGGATTAGGAATCCAATGGCAAATGAGTATGGTTTGGTTCTTTTCATTTTTAGACTGAACGTGTAAATTCCCATAACATGAATCTCAGTTTTCATTCATTCAGTTTTGTAGCATAATTAACAGCAACATTCTATGTTTATACAAGATTGATAAATGTAGCACTTGGTCCCTTAAGAAAACACATTCACAGTATAGACCTAAACTCCTTACATGCATACTGTTTACATTGTTGAGCTGATTTATGAGGCTCTTATGTTGAGCCTTTGCTTTTCAATTGATATCCAGACTACAAGCGTTTGTCTTTCAGAGGTTAGGGAACTTACCTTGTTATAACGTTCATGGGGGACAGACTGAAGCACAATAGGTTCCATGGTGGATACATTAGCGAACTCAACTTCTGGGATGTAAAGAGCACAAACCACATGGGCCCAACCTAAACAAGACAGATGATATATTATCAGTAGATGATGTATCAAACGGCTAAGATTAAATTATTCCTTTATTGTTATGGGAACTAGCTTTGAAGTTGCAACTGGGTTTAACGGCATAAAAAAAGTGTCACTAAAATACAATCCATTATTTTTTTTATTATAAATCAATTGCATAACATTTAAATTTCTCATTAATTAAAGATGATACAAATATTTTGCTTAAAAACATGCATAATACAATAAAAGAAACATTTAATTTAATGTGCGTCTGCTGACTGTCACAATCATTTTCTGTTATTTATTATTATTATTTTTTTAAAGAGCCCCCATTCATTTGTTTGCTTACAGTCATTGCCTACAGGGCACGCCTGGCTTCCTCCACAGTGTGAAAAACACTTATTAAAGCATGTGGGCTGAGTGTGACCGCAAAGACGAAACACCCAGGACTGAAAGAGGCAGAGGCATATTCTCTCCTGCCTAGCGTCTAGACCAAGTGTTGAACCATAGGGTGTCAGCCACAAGTACACTACATAAATATTATATAATAATTTCAGACTACTACTTAACTTTTCCTCCACATCAACTGTCTCAACCACAAAACAGAATTGATTTAGATTTAATGACCATATTCTGCAATATGTTTGTAAAAGGCAAGCAGATACTATTGATATCGTTGATATTAACCTGAGCAAATGAGTTCTGGTTATCCAGCGCAAGGGCACAATAACAGGCCTAAACTTAAAGGTGAACCCATGAACTGTCTTTGACCCCAGCCTAAAGGGACAGGGAGGTGGGTTTTGTTGTTTTGAAGTCCCTCCAAGAATCCAGCAGAAGCCTATAAAACCAGGCAATAAAACCCAAGCACACCCCAAAGAACTTCTAAACCCCTCAAACAGAACGGTGGCACACTTAAAAAGAGAATGATTTGCCAAAGATGCCTTTAGCTGAGCATATAGTCCTCAAACAATCTTTTTACTTTAGATTCTAGTTAAAAAAGTCAAATCCAGGGGACTAAAGCAACAGTAAAAACTGAAAGGCTCTAGCAATGGTCTATGAACATTTCAAAAGGGATGAGTTTTTATTTCTTTGCATGCGTTTCAACATGCTATTGCGGCAGGTATATGCCACTACTCCGGTGTTTTCAAATGGGATTATTCTTGTGCTTGCATAACTCAACAGTAGCAACACCTGTAAAAACCTCTCCCATGAGCTGGTCTAAGGAACGAGGAGGACTTTGCAGCTGAGTTTTACTCCTCAGTTGGCTAAAATGTAAAGGTTTCTCTAAAGCAAATCGTGAACACTTAAATCTCACATGTGAGATATGGTTCAAACAAGCTCTTTCTAAATAATGACAAAACATGGAAGGCTTATCTCGAGGCATTTCAAAAGGCTTTAAAAATCCAAGCCAAAAAAAGAGACGTGGTCTGAAACAGCTAAAGCGTAAGCCAGGGGCAATGATGTTTCCCTCATGGCCGTTAAACAGCTCACCACCCCTAAAGATGGGGCATGGTCCCGCAGCTGTGTACCATGCCATGTTTACAGTCTCTGAACTGCCCTTGCCGTGAACCCGGAACATGAAGAAGAGTCGTCCCCTCTCAGCCCCACAATGACCCCGCTGAGACCGCCCACCCATAAAAACAAGGTGAGAGACAAACATGCATACTTCCTAACCCCCTTTGCTCAATTATTCTGAAAAATAAGAAGACAAAATCTGCCCCATGTGCCAAAAAAATTCCAAGACTATGTCAAACTCTTGGATCATTCAAAAGCAGTTAAGATGTTAAAAGAAGAAATGGTTAAAAAATTATTCATTTCTGAAATCCAAATTAGATTATTTTGAGGTGAGACATGAATAAAAAAATATAACTAATTAACAGCTTATTTATGAGACATAGTATAATATCCTGTAGACAGTAGAATTTCTGTGATAATTAAAACTGTCAGAGGATATCAGTGAAATACTCCATAGAAGAGATAATCAATCCACTATATATATATATATTTTTTTTTTATATTGACTTTCATTAGAGGCGACAAAATAGAAAGGTGTCATCCTCATCAGCACATATGTTCCTCTCAAGAGCTTCACATAATTGTATCACCTCACAATAAAACTGGGATGAGAGATAATAGTAAAACTGCTAACCCAAAGATTTTATAAAATATTTTGTCTCTTTCACACTCACCCATCAAAAAAGTATTTTATGCTACAGGCCTATATTTAGCTACTGAGTAACTGCAGTCTGTTCTTGCAATGACATGTAGATAAGTAAGTAAAAACAATCAGGATAAAGTTAGATGTCCTACCTCCATTATCTGTTCGTTTCAGCGCTCCGTCTTTGTGGGGACACAGCTCACACCTCTGCGAAAAGAGGAGAAATAACATGAACCCACACTCCATCCAACGATCTGCAGGCCAGACACAGCTCTGAGGGCTTTCAGGAGCTCTACTTCAGACATGGACATCAAACTTAAGCAGAGTTTAGAGGTTAGACATCATTTTCTTCCTTGAAACAAGAAAACAGAGCATCTTGGCAAAAGTGATCAATGAAACTGTACACAAGAGCCTTTGATAGTTCACAGGAGCTGGAAAAAATCCACTGCTGCAACCCTGAAGAGCTGCTTCTATATAGGATAAAATAGGATCTGCTCTGCTAAAGGAGAAAAACTGGTTTAGACAACCGTTTTCTGAAACAAAAGACAGGACAAGAAGAAAAAAACCCTCGGAATAGAAGACGAATGATCAAATGAAGACAGTTACTACCCTTTTTTGAACAACAAAACCCACAGATGGTTGAAAGTGTCCTAAAGAAATGGGACCTGACACAGCACATCATGCATATACACTATGACATTTCACTCATCTTCAAAGCCTTGAACAGGGTTAGATATTGGGGCATAACATTGTGCTTGGAACCATGCCGTTATTTGCCACATACCACTATGTTCAAAGTTTTTAAGCTTCTGCTCAGTCTGCTGTCCTCCTCCTCTTTGTTACAGGTGGTGGACAGTCCTCCTCCTTCAGGGGTCTGCCAGCTCGGCTTTCTCCCCCTCCACCCTTTAATCTTTGGGAACGAAGTGGCAGAGCAGGGCACAAATAGGGGAAAAAAATGGGCTCATTTTTAGTAAGTGGAGGAATGAGGACAAATGCAGCAATTTGGTTTCATATTTGACCTATCGGTAAGTCCACCCCCTTAGTTACTGTTCAAGTGGGACTTAAATATGCCAGGTATCGATATATAAAAGATTTTAAAATAATTACAAGATTAATTTGGAAGCAAGGGTTTACAGATCACAATGCAAGCGGGAGAAGCCTCACGTTACGTTCGTCACGATCACAGAAAAACAACATCCAGGATCAACACTGTTAATGTACCGTAAGACTGTAACGGGTAAGATTAAATAATTTAGGTACTGAATTGTAGACCAGTCTGTACATGACATGAGAACAGTTAGCTATTTAGGTTTGTACATTAGTATGGACTCACTAACTTTAATTGTAACTTAATGAGAGTATGACAACCAGAAAATTAACATTTTCGTCTTCATTGAGATTGGGGTTGAATCCTTAGAGAACCAGGTTACTGCACCCAGATCATTGATATTATAAATAAACCGTATTTAGTCATATTGCGCAGATAATTGTTTTGGGGTTTTTTTGCAAATCTTATCACACTTTTGAAACATGCTGGGGAAGGAGTGCACAGTACGGTGATTCATTCAATACATGAATAATACCCATGCTTATCCTCTCAGGATAGCTGGAAGCAGTGTTACAAGTACCCCAGGCACATCGTTTCACAATTTTTGTAGCATAAACACCATCAAACCCATGAGAGCTTTGGATCTTCCAATGTTTCTCTATGGCGCTGCCACTGGCTCATCTGTGTTCGAGGGGAGGGGCTTACCTATAGGTCAATTATGCTTTCGGAATACAAAAAAAAAAAAGGCTTCAAGTTTTAAAAATGCTCCAGCAAGAAATCTTTCTGATAATGCAAGGCAAGCTATGATTTTGACAAATCTTTAGGTTTGGATTGGTTAGAAGTGGCAAAAAGGCCACAAAACTAAAACATGACAAACCTGTGGTTAAAAATATATGGAAGAAAAATCCTGTTCATTTTCAAAATAAGAGTAGCTGCCATTGAATAATGTCTCTAACCTCATAAAAGGTGTTATGTGGGATGCCTTGTTTTGTCATGAATCCAGATCCTTCAACAAAAAGGCCCACATAATGGGTTACGTGACAGTTTTCCCCTTCTTGTGACCCACTATTCTTCTGCTCTAAACTGCCACTTAGGTTTCATGCTTCCCTGACAGCTCGCACAAGTAACATGTACAGCCATCAGAGCGTTGAGCTCCGAGGAAACCGCTTTAACTGCCAACACAACTTTGCAAATCTTAACCATTTGTTTCCTTTACCCCAACCACCATCTTCTATTCATAAATACTAGAACAGCATGTATTTTAAGCTATAGCATGCTTTATGAAAAGGGGTCATTACTCAGGATGATATCATTGAATACAACACATAGTAAAATGTTGAATAAAAACATAGAGACTGCATTTATCACTCAACTTTTGCTTCTTATATATTATGTGATAATTTATAAAATAAAAAAGCATACTACTTATTTGCAAGTAGCGGTAATCATTATGTTACCACATAACAGAAAATGAAAATAAATATCTTAGCTAGGGGTAGGTGGGCAAGTGCCTTACCAGCCAACAGCCTTAAGCCATGTCCACACAAATACTTTTTCATTTGAAAACGTATATTTTTCTCTTCGGTTTGGCCTTTCGTCCACACTGAGATGGCGTTTTAAGTCAATGAAAACGTAGCTTTTGGAATATGCTCTCCAAAGTGGATACATTTGAAAACGCTGTTTTCACGCTGTAGTGTGGAGGTATTTGAAAACGATGATGTAAGTTTAGTCATGTGATTCATGTTGTACCAATACCAATACTTCTAAAAGTGAATTTAGAAGTTTCTCATCCACACCGAAACATCCGAAAAAGCTAGTGTGGACGGATAGCGTTTTGAAACGAAAATGCCGCTTTCAAATATATACGGAATTACGGATTAATGTGGACGTAGCCTTAAGGGGGGGGGGGTCGCACACCGGACGAGAAGCGCAGCACCGCCACGTCTAGGACAACTCCAGGTATCGCACACTGGGTGGGCAGTCTGCGCACATTCTAATCGTGCAAGCTCAATTTTGAATCAACTCATGGTAGAAGAGCTGCACGATGTGAGAGTTTTAACTTGATTTATTATTTATTTTTATGCTTGATTGAATAATAATAGCTGATGTTTGAACGTTAATCAAGTAAAAAAGTGTCTATCACGTTAAGTCTTATTTTGTTGTAATGTTTTAAGTTGTCTAAGCAACTATGTCACGAAATACAATAGTATTTATTTAGCTAGCATTTAGCTAACCCGAGTGAAAACAGCACAGGGTGAAGCCATGTACATTAACAATGATTTGAGACAAATAAATGTAAATTTATTATAAAACTGCAAATGGCACTCTGTGGCGCGGCAGGGTTTTGAACAAGGTCCTGAGCCGTAGCTGGGTGTCGCGGACAGAGGCCGAATGGCGCCGCCGGTGCCACTTATATAAAATAATCTGTTCGAATTGTAAACACATGGCGCTGCGCTTCTCGTCCAGAGTGCGACCCCCTTTAGCAATCCTGAAGACATTGACTAGCTTGTTCAGGAGTATTTGATTAGGGTTGGATCTCAACTCTGCAACTCTCTAGGACCAAACTACGCCTGGTCTGAACCATAAAGAAGATTTTTCAGTACAAATATGATATTTTCAAAAAATCTGTTTAATATCACATTAGTAAGTCTGATAACATCTGTTATACATACACGCCTAAGAGTGTGTCCAGACAAATTTAAAAAAAAAACTTTTTAAAAAGACCAAACAGAGAAAATGCTTCATAATTACTGTTGTACATTGACTGTACATTGTACATTTTTCATTGACTTTTCTGAACTACCACTGGTTGTGAATAGTGCTAAAATAACTTTCTCTGAAAAGCTGAAAAACCTAGGGGTGTAACGATTCACTCGTTTTCTCGATGCATCGATTATAAATCCTGGCGATGCATATGCATCGATCCTGAAACATGTATTTTGAATCGTGAATCGTTTATTTACGTGAATAATCGATTTAAAAGGCTAAGAATCGAATTAATCACGATTTTATAGCGATTCAGTGGTTTAAAATATATAAACACAACCTTAAAGTGTTCCTGGTACAAGCTGCCTCACGCGTTGGCCGTCATACGACATCCGCATTTGATTGGTTTCAGGCGCTCACACACCCCTGATTTCTCACGCTGAAGCCCGGTCGGTCAAATGCCTGAAAGATGAGTTTATCTTTCTACCTGTTGAGCTACTCATGTCGTGATCAGCTTGTATTACCGCAAATTTAAAATCTCCCGGAATCTAGAGCGAGCGTGCATACGAGACAGAGGTTGTGCTCCAAACCGCGTATCGCGCGTTCACACACGGCTGCACGCACTCGGCAGAGAGGGAAAGCGAGCGAGAGACCACCTTGCGTGTACGGAGAAGAGTCCATGTAATAAATGAATGAAAGCGTTTTATTTCATAGTGCCCACGCAATGGCATGGCAGCTTTATCAATGGCTTGAGCGGTTTGCCTCAAAACTATTGCTTTCTCGACAGAGAGCTCAGCTGGAGAGCTCAAACATGGACTGCTCGAAAATCTGTAGTTAACGTTATGAAAGCATGAGAGCTATGGGACCGAGCGCGAGCAAAATCCAGTGAAAAGATGATAACGAGTGCACTGAGAGGACGCAAAATGAAACTAATGAAAACGTCTCCATTAATTTGTGCATGTAGTCATTTAATGCAATACTTTTAAAGCCTTTTTCAAAATATTTGCTACTTGCAAATGCTAATTTGTAGGCCATTGAATTTTTTTTATAATAATATATTCATTAAAATTAAAAACAAACATGAGCTAACATCAACAATGGACAAAATCCCCACTATCTGATTCCCGAAGGCCGCTGTAGGCTAATTCAAAACCAGACAAAGATGGATGAAGCATTGAAATAATACTATAATGCATATAAAAAATTAAGAATCGAATTAATCGAATCGCATCGAATTTGGATGTGAATCGCATCGAATCGAATCGTTCTGAATTTGCACAAATCGTTCATGAATCGAATCGAAAACCTATGAATCGTGCATCGAATCGATTCGCTGTCTACCCAAAGATTCACAGCCCTAGAAAAACCACACTTGACATTAAAACCACACAGATGACAAACCACACTTTCAATTAAAAAAAAAATCTATCTTGCGATGAAATATGTTCTCTGTTGAGACAAATCTTGCGATGTCCTAAACTGCCTGGATAATTAAACAACGTATGCTGTGGTCCATTAATGACACATCCGAGTTGCAAACGAATGACTCATTTGAACCAATTCACTTTAATGAGTGGTTAAAACAACTGATCTGTCCAACACTAAACTCAAGAGACATAAATCGGGAACACTTTACAATAAGGTTCTTTACAATAAGAAACAATGGGCTGATGTATAATTGTTGTTCAAGTTCAGACAGGTAACGTTAATCTTTCACTCAAAATCGTTCAATACTGTTTATGCATCAGTAAGTCAAGCCAGTGACTATAATATCAACTTCACATCGTTTCTTTTAGTAAGATGAAAAAAACGTATTTAAATTGTGAATAAATTATATACAGAATTACAGAAAGCGATCAAAGAACAATCTTTCCACACAGCGCGAGTTTATCTGGACACTTGCCAAACTCGTTATGAATTTAATGACGCACGTTACACTGCACAACGAAGCTCTTACTGTATTTACATGATTGTGTCTGCATTAGTGAAAGCAGAGAAGGCAGAAACTGCACTGCAATGATAATATCTTCATCCTCGCGATCGACAGACTGTCCTCTGCTTGCTCAATGCTCATCACAGCAACATTTTATGTGATGGGAATAGTTCTAAATACTTCAAAAACATCTCACGATTTGTCAATCTCGATAGCTGTTATAGCAAAAACATATAATAGCTGTAGTAAATTTATTCGAGAGAGTTTGACATGTAATACATGGCTATTTCATATGCAAGCATGTCAGCCAATCACAGCAGAGGCCGATTACACACAGCAGACTTCAAACAGAGCGTTCAAAGCAGAGGATAAAATCAGGCTCGGAAAAATGCCTTTTATTTCTAAATTTTGACTATTTTTGATCTAAAAAAACATACTAACATTATAAGGGCAACCCAGGAAACATTATAAAATATTTTTAAAAAACATTCTAGGGCACCTTTAAAGCTACAAAAAGGACATTCAGTCAAGAACTGGGTGATTTTCTCTTTTTCTTTTAACTAACAACAATAACAGGCAGATGCATATATTAGGCTGCTGTCACTTTAAGGCCTCATCCACACAAATTGTATATACTGAAACACTTTTTATTTTCTCCCATCTGTTTATGTTCACTTAAGACATAACCACTTGGGTTTACTTTTAGGCATGCACCCGAAATTCAAATTTCACTTTGCTTGTCCGACAGTGTTCTGCTCCGTGTCGGAGCAAGGCCACAGAAAGCTGCATGCGGTCTCTTTCATGCTTTTAATAACTTTTTAATATCAAGCACATCCCATTTTATGAAAGTCAAATTACATGCAAGTCTGGGCTTTTAGCGAGAGAAAACCCAATGACACCATCATTGTTTTATCTTGATTATCGTGTTCTCATAATCATTGAGAGTAAAAATCTAAAAAATCTAGTTTCGATTAATCACACAGGCCTAGTTGTAGTTACCAGACAAAACATTGATAAAAATGATGTTTGTCCATGCATACCCTGATCTTAAATGTACTATATTCTATAAACTGTCTGATCACAGGGCATTATTATAATACTGAATGCCTAAATGTCCATTGCCTGACCTTCAACCATGTTTATTTTAATATGTCCCCTCAACCTGGCTACCAAAGCTTTTGGAACTATAAAGCCCACTGCACACAGAGTTCGAAATTCGCATCTGAAATTTTCGCACGTTAAAAAAAAATCCGACCTCACGTTATGTCAATCACGCTTGCACACTGCCCCCGAAACTTTCGTCCGTCATAAAAAAATTCGGATCGGGTTCGATTTTCTGCATTTTTCGCATCCACAGCCAGCATTTTGAAAGGTTTTTTTTTGACAATTCAGGGCCGGGGGAACTTGTTCCACACATAATTGCACAGGCGCAGTCCTTTAAGTTTCGGTTTTCAATTCGATCAAGTGTTTATATGTTCTCTCGATCAGATTAGAAAAGGAATAAACCTCCCCTTTCTATCAGATCGAAATTTCGAATCAATTAAGGTAAGCCAATTTGATAACTAATGTATTATTTGGGTACAATATATAACCTGTAGCCTACAGCTGTTCTGTCTGCCCAGCGTTTCCGTGTGTGTGTCCATATCTTAGACATACTGCCAGTCTCTGTTCAGGATCGATTGGTTCACAGAAATTGGTGGTCTTCTTTTTAATATGTGGCTCCAGAATCGCTAGCAAAGCATCAAACTGTTCAACTGTCATTCTGAAGTAAATTTTTAATCGCTCTGGATAAAGGAGGTGGAACTCTCATTCCTCGGCGCAATTTCAGGATTGGATGGACCCAATATTTTCTCTTTCTTCTCTTTTCCATAAGAGAGAGGGCAACAACAAAATCATCCACACTGCTTGATGAATCCATTTTTATTTTTGTGCGTTTTTTCCGCAAAAGGTTTAATAAATACGCATCGGACTCAGTGTACAAGGTTTCTGTGCGTGACAAGTTTTAGGCTGACGAACAAGAAAAAAACGCATAGGAAAATTTCGGACTCAGTGTGCAATGGCCTTAGGAGACAAGTTACAATTACCAGTTCAAAGTATCAATAATAAATATTATCTGTCTAATGGAAACTGCAGAAAAATCCACAATCTACAAAAAGAGGAAGGAGATCCGGACTTCAGCAAAACAGATAAAGAAAATTTTGTATAAAGATTGGAAAGAGGAAACTCACCACCCTGGCAGCCCGTTCCTGTGATTCACATTTCCTGCAGAACCAGGGGCCTGTGGGGACTTGGACAATACCATAGCAGGCTGAAACAACAGGAATGAAGGACAAATGAGATGATGAGACTTTCTTCCAACTACTGTTAATCTGACAGCTTTCCTATCGCTTCCTGTCAAGTTTCAAGATTAATATGAGAGTGTTAAAAATGATATTTTAAGAAATGTGAGAGCTTTTTGTAGTGCAAAAACATCTGGGTATGAAATTAACACCTGCCATCAGCTAAACGTAGGTAATTTTTGCACAGTCTGAGTTAACTCAGATGGCACGTGACTTCTTGTAACACTGACATTTTACAGGAAATACTGTTGCCTGGATGCACTTGAAGAAAGCTGTTAGGCTAGTTATATCTTGATAAGCAGACAAAACAAAAATGCAGTTTGAGCACTTTACAGAACAAAATCATGACTGAAGTTTTCATGTTCTCGTGTCACTGGTCTCAAAACAGTTTGTCTTATTCTTATTATTGTTTAAATTTACAGTGAAGATCACTCATAAATATTTTGTCATTTTTTAGCTCTGGTTGACTGTCAAGGTCAAGTAAAAGTGCAAAGAGAATCCTTTTTTTGTTCAATGCAAAGGTCTTTGCGTGTTTGTTTAATTTCACATAGGCTTGTGCAATGTAAAATGTATTTAATACATCAGAGCTGAGAACATTTAAAATAGCTGATGGAAAAACCAGCTATTGACAATGTAATTTCTACACTGAACAAAATTTAAAGACATGCAAGTATACCAATTTCTGTTTCATAGGCTAGTTATTTATGTGCAAATACAAATTAACATGCAATTCCGCTTTCCATTAGCAGGCAGGAAACTAAGCAAAATGTTTTTCTGCAACAATGTCACAAACAGTCATCTAATCAATAGTCACATCAAATGATTGCCCAAACACTAACAATATCATCTGTCTAACGTTACAAGTCTAAAGGGGACAACTTTACCCATTTGTACTGCATCATCTTCTGCGACCTAACAAAATAGATGCTAAAGAACGAAGTGACAGCTAAAACCAAAAATAGTACAATACATTTGAACTAAGCTTGTCAGCTATTTACATGGCACGTAGATGCAAAAACTTGTTAATCAAGTCGCAATATTTCCATTGCATGCATGTATGTATGATAATATACACCTCAATAGAAATTAACAACAGGACCTCAATGTCAAAACAGTAAAACTTCAATGACAGCCGGTCAGATTGATGCTTAAAATCAAAAACATAAAAGTTGAATTTCAAAACTCATATTTTTATTGCTACACACGTATGTAGCCATTGAGGTTCCCACAAAGACAAGATTCTTGAAACCAAGATATCACTAGGACATCTTGAAGCGTCCCACAAACTAAAAAAAATGCAAGACAAATAACAACACGTGGGATAACCAATCAAGATCCTGTTAAGAGTCCGGAATTTGTTGACAGTTTTGCTGACTAGCCATAAATGTGTGTTATCAGCCTAGCCGTAATGACTTACAGAGCTAGTCTGAATGTGACTCATCTTTGTTTCCATAGCTGTGACTGACACGTTGTTGGTCCTGAGACAGTGGTGATAAAGAACAACCATGAGCGACATGCTGTTACAGCCGTGTAGCGCTCGTGCTAACGCATAACATTAGCACACAATCAGGCCTTCGGCGAACAGTTGCTTCACAACAACCGCCACACCTTAAAAACACTCCAAATTAACCGTTAAAATATTTAATATTCCCTTACTGTCATCCCAATAACACAAACAAGTGCCAGTGGATAAACTTATGCCATACTGAATGTTCGTTGAGCTAAGCTAGGCTAAGCTATGTTATGCTAAGCTAACGTTAATTCTCTCACCACAACAGACGGGAGCTTAATCAAAACACCCGCCTCAAGTGAAATAAAATAGTCTTTTATATTTACCTTGGTGGACAGCAACGTTACAGCCGTGACCGTCGCAGTAGACGAGGGGGTTTTCGGCCCAGCCTCTCTCATCCGAACAGACGCAGCAACCACCGATCATCTCCTTCATATTACTCGCCGAGTCGTCGTCTTCCTCTGCCAGATACAGCTCGCTGGATACCATCTACCTCCAGCAACGCACAAAGACCAACAAAAATGCGGTCGGGCGTTTTTCTCACGAATCCCTATCTCCCCTGAAAGCCGTATTTTATGTTCCATTTCGATGAAAAGCCATATTTCGGTTGCGTTGTGGATGAAGGCGGTTTTTTTTGGCTCAACACACAAACCCCGTACTAAAGGCTCTCGGGATGTGGAGGCGCGTGTGCGCGCATGCGCCGAAAGGCAGAACAGGAGAGGCAGTGGAGTGGATAGAAGGCCTCTTGGGGCTGTTTGATCCACGCGGCGAACGCCATCGAATTTTAACGCGATCACGGGACAAGCTACAGTGCACTGCTCTTCTCGGTCTACGTACGATCGTCTGGGAGTTTTGATTTTAATTGAAAAGACGAAACTTTAAAGAGTATTGCATTCCTCTTAAGAATGTGGCTTGTTAATATTACACGTGCCACTAGGTGCTAAATAATAATAGGCCTACCAGTTATTTTCCACGTATTTTCAAACTTTGAGTGGTATATGAAGAGTTCAGATGCAAAAGCCTCTAAATGCCATTTGAAATTTTCTTCTTTAATGATAATTTTTTATCAAACTTGTATATTTAAGTTCAGTAATTTCACTTAAATAACAATTAATAGGTAATTATCATTGCCATTTAAGTGAAATCACTGAACTTAAATATACAAGCTTGATAAAAATTATCATTATAGAAGAAATTTTCAAATGGCACTTAGAGGTTTTTGCATCTGAACTCTTCATATATTCTTTACTTAGACGTTATAGAAGAAGATACGGGCAAATAAATGAAGTATGCACACCATGGACTTGTGATCTCAACATTAATTAGGCTAAGTGGAGCTCGTTTCTTATTCTTATAATTTAATCCCCTAGAAGCAGGCATGTCCTATATTTAATGTTTAGTCCGTTTAGATAGGCCTACTGTAACATTTAGGCTAGTAGCCTATAGGTTATAGATATAAAGAGCCTTTTGCTCCAATTCAAGTGAGCGGTATGCCGAAGTGTGACCTAAACGCCTGTCGTTTAAGCTACTTAAGGCAAAGATTATTGTTAACACTTAACAAATGAACCAACAACAAACGTTTACCTATAAGCTTCCAGTTTCATGGCTGCTTGCATATGGGTGTTTGAAATGGGACCAAAACTAAAGTGCCGTTTAACATCTAAAGTAAGCAATGTATCGGGCTTGTTTGTATATCCGCTTGAAATCTTTTAGCGCCAAAATAGTGCACGTAGCCTATATAGATAAATAAACTAGGCTAATCCTAAACGAAATAGCCTAGCACAGCACAGACATTGACCCAATGAGGACCCCGTTACAAATCACAGACCTGTACAACAGTCCAAAACACTCCTTTTTTATTTTATTTATTTTTTTACATGTTGTGGAAATCAGTACAACGTGGGTCGCTTATATTTATGAATGTGCGTAGGCCTACCATACAGTAGTAGGCCTACTTTTTGCGCACCAATTAAACTTATTCTCAATTTAAAATTTTAATCATTTCACCAATTAGAAAACATTTTACACTATTTTATTTTGATAGATGACACGAAGAAATTAATCAAGAATGACACCTCTGCGGCTTCTGGCGTTTTTTGATTTGGTCACTTTAGAATAGGCTAAATTAAACTTCTAATTTATAAACATTTAGAATAAACATTTTAACCTGTTTTGCAGTACTATCAAGATAATTCTGCAGTGCCAATATAGGCATATACCCTATTCATTTATTTCCCAAATAGCCTACTTCTCACGCGTACCCTGACGTATAGCTACATCTCCAAAAAATTAACAACGCGTCAATTCTACGAGGACCGCAAGCGTTGTGATTGGTGTGTTAGAACCCCTCCTTCGGATTTCACATGCTCCCTCTGTGCGGACAACGACCCAGAAGTACTAGGTCCGACGCCGAAGTATCCTTTAGCGTTGAATAAATATTTCGACCTGACGTGATGTCCATATCAATTCTCTGATAGTGCTTGTTGCCTAAATGTCATTGAAAATAAACTGCAGTTTAATAAGAAAGAAAGCCAATCTATTGTAGAATTAGCCATATTTTGTCTTCCCTGCCTCAGACATTTTTGACTCAGTTGTGCCTGATCAGAGTCTCACTGTCGGAGAAATATTGTGGTGGGGGCGATGCTGGATAAATGTTGATTTTGGAACCTTTAATAACACTACGTGAATTTAGCTAATTGGGTTACAAGATGTGGACAGATAGACTCGACATAGCCTAATAAAGCATTTTGTCGTTTTTTATTGTTAATGGAAAAAAAGTTTTTTAAATCACACTGTGTTTGTGTATGTAGGCTTTTTTCTTCATTGCTTTAAAAAGAAAGTTTACAAAGCATACATGCGAAACCTTTTCCTCTTTTTTATTGCCTCTTGCTGTTGTTTCTATAGGCCCAAATATTCATCAGGCTTATTTGCTTGGAATCCACAACAGTCATTGTATGCAATTAACAAAATGTATTTATTTATTTAAGGATAGATAGGTGATATTGGCTTCTTTTGCAGGGTGCACACTGGTTTTGCGCTTAAATAATCTTCTGTAACGGTGTTAAGGTCTGTAACGAATGTCAAACAGGGAGGTGAAATGGGCGACGTGTTTTTTTTCCTGTCAAAGGGCATGGGTGCCCCTCATCCGGAGTCGAAGTGGTTGAAAAAGTTTTTTTTTATTAGTATTGCAAAAGAAAGGATACAGACATTAACAGTGAAAAGAAAAAAAATAAAAAAGGGCGGTATGGCTATATGGACATCAAAAGAGATTGAATTAGGCTACACAAATCAATACAATATATTATACATTTTGTCAATATAAAAAAAATGAAAGGTTCGATCTTTACAACAGGCTCAAGGGTATTATTTGTTTTAGAAACCTTTGAGTTTAAAGTTGTTGTTGTTGTTGTTGTTTTTTGACATTTTCTTAAATGAAGAAAAAAATGACTTTATCAGAGGAGATAATTCTATAATCAGGATTAGCCTACATTGAATGTTTCTGGCTTCATGAAGATGAAACATGCCCAGATGACAAAGTATTAAGTAAATAGATTAAATAGAATAAACGATAGATTCTGTCGTTTGTACCAATTTGTTACACCAGCACAAAACTAGTTTGCCTGTAGCAGCACGAGTTCTCTTTTACGCAAAGCCTTGTGGGTAACTCAGGGGCAGGCACATACGCAGATATGACACAGCAGGGTGAAAGGTTATTTCAGCCCACCCCCAACCAGCTCACTCTGTAAATCCAGGTTGCATATACCAACTCATAGGCTACGTTCTGAAAGAAGAATGTACTTTAGATGGGATAGAACTCACATGTTTGGCATAGCCATATCTGATTACTTGTAATGATTGATTTCAAAGACGTAAATGAATATTGTTTTAAGTATTCTCATTGTTAAAGTGCATGATTGACACGACAGACGTTCTGTGTGCACATGTGTACTCGAGAGAGATGGTGTTGGTTAATCTCCATTTAGAGTATTCTTCCCACGAGATGTTTTCGTCATGTTATTAAAGTCGCTCAACATTAAGCTAAGCCTATGCATCATTAAAAGGAGAATTTCGACAACAATAATTTGGTGGAGAAGTCGTGTTTTGATTGTGCTAGAACTTTAAAAGGATATTATATATAAATCGTTATACTTCCTCCTTCCTTTATGCCAAGTCATCGTGAATGCAAAGAAGACATTTTACAAAAATGTTTAAAACTTAAATAGTTGTCTAAATTCTTCATCATAAAAATTCTAAAAACGTATTCGAAATCGCTGAAACGCTGCCTCCTAAATGACTAAACAACTTACATCCAAAGGGAATGTGTTCTTTGTTCTCCGACTGTTAGCTAAAGCGCGACGAAGAAGCGTCCTCTTACCTCTCACGTTCTCTAATGTGAGAATCTTCATCAAACTTTGAGCTCGCGATCCTTAGCGAAAAGTATGTTGTGCACATTTACTTGATTTAACATAATGATAAATGGGCTGCAGTGCACATTTTTATTTGTCACCGGACGTCTTTCCCATGCTGTTTGAGACTCCGCGCACGTTGTAGTGATGTAGCCTACTCGGACCCCCAATCGTTGACTCGGTCACGTTTGAGGGTCCAGGGCCCATCCTGATTTCACCGCAATAAACGAGTCCAACTCAACTCTCCCAAGAAGCGATCAAAATTGTATTTTTTTCTTGGTTATTAAAGAAATCACGAGTTTTAGCCTGTCGATTTGTTTACATGAAATGGGTAAGAAATAATTACCTTTAGTTATAAATAGGCTATGCAACAGCATTAAATAGCCTATTTAATGAAAATTCATCCCCGTATTTGCTCACTGACTCACTGCATGGCACTTCCAAGAGCCTTTGTGATCAAAATGAAACAATTGGGTTTGTGTTTGTTGTCAGATTAACTCAGCTTTGTGATAGTTATATAGGCTGGTGTGAATTTATTTGCATCCCACATGAAATAATAATATAGCCTGCATTGTAAACAAATAAATATAGGCTATTCAAAGAAGATTAATTTGAGTTAACTTGGTTTTCGAAAAGTGATCAACTTTTGAAATAAATCTTAAAACGGGACAGCAAAACATTTCTAAAGGCAAACCAACCCCTCAACTCTTCAACCCACGACAATGCACACTGGGTCGAAGATCAATCATTATCACTCATGTCACAATTGAAGACTGTCAAGCTGTGAGGTTTCAGAATCAAAGGGCCAGCATCTGCATGTTGTCTTTCAAATGAGGTGTGCCCCTCGGATAAAAGTTATATAGAGTTCAGCGAAGGTTGGAATAAAATTGACTATCAACAGCGATAGACTGAACATTAAAGTACGCAAGAAAAATAATCATGTTGCATAATACAGCTCATTTTTGCAGTTCCAGCAAGAGACATTTTCTAAAAATAAATAAATAAAAAAAGGAGGGGGGGGGGGGGGGCTCGTAAACTCTGTTATCAATCTAGCCTAGGGTTAACAATTTTATTTTATTTTTGTATGCAGATTTGTACCCTTTAATTAGGCTAATATCTTGGCAATATTTTACACATTTTATTATTTTTAATCCTGGTGTTATTAAACATTCACAAACATTGCGTTTGTTCGATAAAGCAGCTGCAGGAGGACCTACATAAGGAGCTGCACTAGGACTCAATGCTGAAGGATTAGACCGAGTTAACACGACCTACTTCCACCTTACATAGCTCTGTGCACGGCTAACCCGATCACACTAAATGCGTCTCTATACCACGCAGTGTCTTTATCGTGGAATTTATAGGCCTACGCGAAAATGAGTTTGTACGTGCATTGGGTATAGCCTACGCATGGGTTGGCACGGCACAACCATGAGCGTGGACGCAATAATGGTAAGATAGCATTACAATTCATCGTGAATAGCAATACAATGAAGGCACAGAGGGTTTAATTGATCCTAGCTAAGTGTGCCATAAAAGTATTTCAACCAATAGGCCTATTAGCTATATCAATAATTAATTAATAATTCATATAAAGTAGACCTAATAGGTTACACTGATAAATTGATACCCTGTACTAGCACTTCCAAAAAAAAAAAAAAAAAAAAAATGCTGGTAGCTATGCTGAAAGCACCGTTAGTAAATATCACCGCCAGGGCCTGCTACAAGTTCAAACCATGACGCTGATTTGCTCATCCTGACGCATTTCCTTTTTTTAGGCCTATTGGCATTATGTGAAGGAGCAGGCAGGTGATTTACATTTAAAAGTTGAAATGATTGAAATTAAACAAATTAATGAATTATCTTTTTCCAGTCATTCATAGATATATAGCAAAACATCGATTTCTTTTGGGTCCTGGAAGTTGAAAAGCAAGGACTTAGGACTTTCTGCCAGGTTGCTACTATCGGAATGATCGTAAATTCAAGTTTCCTAATTAAAAATTGGACATGAAGGCCCTCTCAAGTCGTAGGCTGTTTACCACTGGGAAGCTCGGGGATCATTTTGATACATAAGTTCTCGAGATGGGCGGGCCTAAACTTTAAACATGTGGAGGGGAGAACGATTGGTATTCTTTGGCCTATTAGTTTTTCCCGCAACAGTAACATACAACGCCTTGTCTAGTGAAGCTTATTTACCAATAGCCTACTAATAATAATTTGAATAGTATTTTACACACATCGAGAATAGCCTGTATTTGACCTAAATTCCAGAATCGCCAGATCTTGATAGCGTGGTAAATGTTTATAGCCTATGGTTTTCAATGAATGGCTTTAAGAAGATTTTCCTATAAATAATTAAGAACAAACCTGCATGGTTCCTGTTCTTTCCGACGACAAACAAGCACTTGAATGCGAGAAGCCCATAATCACGACTTCAAAAGTGGAAGACATTAATTGAAGGCAGCATCATTCCATGAAAAACAGACATCCACATAAGCACCTTGTATTCTACAATGAACACAGTGGGAATGTGGAATACTGTATCAGGAGTGTTTAGTGTCTCACAATATTTGTATATGTGTACGAGGTTTGTGTAATCATAATTTGCCTACATGTGTATTTAAGTTTAGCAGAAGAATTTTCTGTCAAATAAAAAAAAGTATTGCAATTAAGTTTTTTTCCTGTTCATTCTCTTTCTTCATCATTGTAAAACGGCATATGTCTGTACACCGACACAAACGGGGGAGGGGGAAGTCTTTGCTCGCGAAGACCCGTTATTTTCTTTTTCACGTTGGTAGGAAGCGGGATGGAGGCCTGTCTAATCTGTGAAAAAATGGACTTTGTTCGACCGCAAAAGAGTTTGAATAATCTAACTCACACACACTCATAAGCAGACCTAGAAGTGAACAATTACGACCATTTTACTTTGACATTTACAAAGTACATTTACCTGTCCTAAAAATATTTGTATTTGTTTCATTTTAGCACACACGTGTTTCTTACATTGTTATCTACAAACTGATTATATCCAGCTATATCAGTTCTGGTTTTAAAATGTGAAAATATGTACAAATATGTAAAAAGCTAAATAAATATGTGGCTAAATTATTCTACACACATAAGGGCGTGCTTGCACACACAGATGCCACACACACACACACACACACACACACACACACACACACGCACAGAGACAGAGATTGAGTTAATGTATATTTTGATGTAGTCGATTACATATACAAAGAAATAAAAAAAAAAACACTATGCACAATTATTACCTAATCTTTTTTTCATCTGAATTCAAATGAGCTTTTGGGTTGGAAAACTGCAACAATCAATATTTTCATTCGGATTTTTTGCTTCAAATAGGCCTACCAGGTTTTATCTCTGTTTGAGTTAAACATGCTTATCTCGCTGAAATTAAATAGATTAAAAATAATAATAATAATAATGAATGAATCCAATTGTTCAGAATGTAGAATAAAGACATTTAAAATTATAAAAAACGTAAATAAAATGCGATAAAGACATCACGATAATGTTAAATTTATATATTTAACACACACACACACACACACACACACACACACAGCCTATATGCGTATATATACGTTGCACATCAATGTGCCAGACCAATTTGTCAGCATTAGCCAAATCATTTTTCAAAACAAAAAAAGTTGTAACAATACTCCGACAAAATGAATTTCTATAGACAACTTATCACGAGTGAATTAATAGCTTTAAGAGAGGTGGGATTACAACAGTATGGTAATCAGCTAGGGGGGTGGGGGTGGCCATGGGTGGAATATCCATTTTTATTGCATCACCTGTCAGTAACGTCCAATCAGCGTCGACTTTGGGGGCATTAATTGATGAAGGTGTCTCCGGCCTTGCTCAGTTCCCACTGTCATTTTATTTGTGACTAAACCAGCAACGGGAATAGCAGCTGCATTTTGGGCTCTATTTCTCTCTCTCTCTCTTTCTCCCTCTCTCTCTCTCTCTCTCTCTCTCTCTCTCTCTCTCTCTCGCTCACACCCTCTCCTTTTCCCTTCCCTACTCTCTTCGCTTTTTATCCTTCTCACTGGCAGTGCAGTTCACCTTCCTCTTTTCCTCATGGCCAAATGAGAAGGGAGCTGAGGGAGCGCAGGTATACAGGAGCTCAGACAGGCAGCAGCCAGCCTGTCGGCAACATCACACACATTCCATCGATCATGCAGTGCTCAGGTCAATGGACTGATTGTTTTCATTCAAACAGGCCATTTCATTTTTATTTTTCTATTTAAAACTTTTTGTTCATCACGCAGTGTGGACATGTCACAGCCCATGCTGTACCGGTCAGCAGAATGCCTTAAAATAAAGAAGCAGCACTAAATAAGGACATTCGTCGCGCTAAATGTTGGAATTAATGCAATGAAGAAAATGGGGGACTTGGAATCCGGTTTTGAGGAAATGCAGGGTGTAAGGCTTGGGTATTTGGTTATCAAAGGCAAACAGATGTTTGCCCTCTCTCAAGTCTTCACCGACCTCTTGAAAAATATTCCGCGGACTACTGTACACAAACGAATGGACCATTTAAACGTGACGAAGCATCACTGTGATCTGGAGGAACTTCGAAAGCTCAAAGCAATAAATTCTATAGCTTTCCACGCAGCTAAATGCACTCTGATTTCAAGAGAGGACGTTGAGGCACTATACTTTTCATGTAAAACTGAGCGCGTATTGAAATCAAACAAAAGAAGGGAAAAGACAAAACATGCCTCGGAAAAAATGTGCGACGGTAAAAATCACACAGCTGCCAAAAGTGACTTTTGGAGAGAGAAAGTTTGGTTGAGTTTGCATGGCGTTCCACAGACTTTTTCATTCAAAAATAAAGCTGTTCGTCAGGACCCTGCCCCTCGCACTCACTCAAATCTACCTCAAATTTACAGTAAATCCTTCGCCCGTGACTTTCAACCGGTCACGAAGTCGGCATCTACAACCTTTAAAAACTATGAAACAGATCAAATACCTGACAATTATGTAGCTTTTAACCAGAAACATACGTTTTTTCGGCACGTTGTGAATCGGCAACCGCTGATCTATCAGTCCGCCATTGCAGCGCAGGCGAAGCACCAAGGCAACGCAGATCTACTTTACAAAAGGAAGAGGAAGCGCGAGAGCTGCGCGAGGCAGTTTTGGTCGAGGAGCAAACGCAGCCATCCGGTTTTGGTCGTCCCGAAGTGCTGTAAACCAAAAGTTCCCCACGGATCTTTGAGCCAGTTTCATCACATCGAGCATGGATTATACGTTGATCCTCGGCATTCTGGACATTATCAGGAAAGCTGTAGCAGCGATACGGAATCTAGCTCCATTTCAGAACGGGTGAACAACGATTCGGATTTCGGGTCCAGTTTCTCTACCACCAGCAACTCCGGGACTTCAGATGAGGAGGAGGAGGAGGATGACTCCCTGTCGGACTCTTCGGATGTCAGTAGCGACGAAGAGAGTTCCTCTCAGTCTGATTCCAGCTCTGTATCCAGTCAAGTTTCAGTACAGAGTATTCGTTTCAGGCGTGCAAGGTTCTCAAGTCTCAACACTAAAGCACCTCTGCTCTTACAGCCAACTTTTCACTACAGGCCTAATGTGCAGACCATACCTACTAACCAAGGAGTAAAGACAAATTTGGATTGTGAAAGAGCAGGCAAAACACAAAAATCGGACTTCACATCCTCCAGGGACACACACAGGGATGATGATACCGCAAACGTGCAGAAGTTTTGCCCGGTGCGGACCTGTTTCCCAGATTTAAGAGAAAATGAGGGCTCTGAAGCACCATCTCGCCTTGAATTTGAATTTTTAAATGATCCAAAGACAACAGACTCTGTCGCTAACAAAATTAAAGATAATGGGCTCACACCTAATGCAAATGGAAACAAGGCGTTTCCCCAACAACGAATACCGGGTTCTGCAAACAAATGCTCCCAAGCCTCCCACTGTGTTCAGGACAAAGAAATAACGGTTTGTAAGTCTTCTGACAGCAATCTTTCATTAGCAGCAAATTCCAGGAGGGAAGCAAAAACTTCCCTCAAACTGCCTTCACCTCTAAAACCTATCAAAACAGAGGCCGAGGAGCTCATCTCTACCTCAGGCTTTAACAATGAGGGCAACCGGAAAGTAAAAACGCCACCATTTTTACTCAACAACGTGAAGATTAAAGTCGAGGACACCTTTGACGAATATGAATATGCAAAGTATCCCCTGGAATATCAATGTAAGGTTAACGACTCTGATGGTCAGCGCATCAGTTATTATTTTAAGGAAACGGACCGCTGCAACGCCACCGAGAGCTCTGTTCAAAAACACCCTCCCTGTTACGAGGAATCAAGAAGCACTTTAAACACTCCTTGTTCCGAGGAAGGGGAATGCAAAAATGGGGCAAGGGTCAGAAAAAACTACAAGACAATGCTTCTGGGTAAGAAAGCCGAGAGTGTGAGGACATCCGCGAAATCGGTTGCAAAAGTTGACCGGAGCCCCCGTTCTGCCGGAAAATTCGCAAGCAACGAGGGATCGAATGAAGACTGTGCAGGCGCGAGCAAACGCAAACGAGCGAGCGCAAATGTAGCATCTCTGAAAAAGCCTTTCAGATTCATGGCGAACTTTCCCTGTCCGCCGTCTCTTGTTCTTGGCAGCGATGGAGATTTGAGTCCCGCTTACTCTTTGAACTCTTTAAGAAGTAACCAACTGCCGCATCGTTCTCACCCAGTGTGGGGATGGCAGCTCGGTCATTCAGTTGTTCCTCCCCCTCCAAGCCACAAATTCAGGAAAGCCTCTGTTATCCCTTGAACTGTTGTTTTGAGCTCGGGGGAAATGTCTTAAACAAGCACTGATTCCCGCATAAATTGTTTTGTTTTCATCGTTGCTTTTAATGCAGGTCTCTGGCCTGTTGTTATGAAGCGCACACGGTTCCTCATAAAACACAGGCTGGTCTGTTCATCGAGGTTTGGGACTCGGGAATATACGGAGGTATTTATAATAAGCTGGGCTGGCAAAAACGTTTGATTTCAAAATATTTCAAAATGATTGACATTGTGGAGCGGTTTGTGACCTGAAGGACAAGACTCCAATGGAGCAAATGTTGGCTCATTTTGCAGGCAGGGTTAAAACCATCTCTCTTAAGGATGGCGTTACAATGATTATCAGGTCTGTCTCAACTAAAATGCTGGTTTTGTTTTTAAAACATCTGACTTTGTCGGTATATTTTGGGCCATTTTTTTTGTATTTTCCCTCTATGCTTCATTTACATACTGTATTTCTGGATTACTGTTGGCCGATGATCCATATCCTTCATATTTATTCATTTTAATGGTGCTCCCCAATTGCTGGTTCCTGGTTGTGTTCACTCACACGCAGCACACCATTACTCTCACGGTAGGCCCAACACAATGGCCCACTAACTGACAATCAAGAGCTGTTTGATTTTGCACGATGTAATAGAGGGAAAACACCAAATCGATCTCCTTCTATTGGACATTCATAGCTTAAGGTATAGAACATAAAGCACAAATTTACCATGCATTGCACTTTGCTAATGCCCATTAAGGTGAATTAGTGTTGTGTTTTTATTGTTCGATTTTCTTCCCCAAAAGAGCCATCGCAAGTTAACCCAAAAACCATTTTAAAATCTCTAATTATTAATGTGGTGCTATTTTTCAATATGTTTGCTTTTAATAGGAGATTTTGTTGATCGTTCTTATTGTAAATGGTGCCGATAGCGACCTGCCTACCTGCATACATACAGCTGCAAACAATATCGTTTTACATACGTGACGAAATCAAAGAAAAAGACCTCGTCAGTGGAATATACACACATTCTGGTCAGAGTATACTAAATGTTTTTTTTCTCTTTGACTCAAGTAGCCTTGTTCTTTTCTTTGATTGTATTTTACTTCAATAGGCCTGTTTTCCAAGGATATGGATTACCTTGGCACTCGAAAGTGTAACTTAAAAAAAATATTCAAGTGTTAACATGGTGTTCAACTACTAGAGTACCCTGCCCCATATAAATGCCTTGTGATGAATGTACTGTGACGTAGCCCACCATATTTGTTTACTTCAGCAAAAGCAGACAGGGAGCCAAACAGGCCTTTAAAAGCTAATTGTGGCCTATTTTTGATTGGATCAGCCAAGGAAGCAAATTATACATTTTCTGATCATATTTTAGAGTGGCAAAGAAAAAAACAACAACATTCTAATTTCCTACGCACACACGCACACGCACGCACACACCACACACACACACACACACACACACAAATAAATACATAAATAAATAAATAAATAAACCATGCGAGTAATCACTGAATAGGCATAGACTATGCAAATTTGGCTAAAGCGGGGCTACCGGGTTCCTGTCATAATGAGAAAACACGTAATATACTTTAAGGGTATTTAACGTATTGAAGTATGGGCCCATTACGTGTACTTTGATTAACGTGTGCAAGTGGGGATAGAGTATTAGGCGAAATTGCATCGCTTTCTGAATGTTCCAATACGCGATAGTGTGAAACTCTGACAGGTGAATGATTAAAATAGTAAAGCCTATATTTTTTTACCGCGACTATTTAATGTCTGCTTTCTCGAGCGTCTCAAAGGAAAATGTGTTCCTTTCTGTGTCAAAGTGCACTGCGGACTAACATAATATAGCTGTCGTCCCAACTTCACAGGAATTAATTCAAAACTAGCCAAATTAAACAGAATGTAGCGCACACATTACAACCCCATTAAGTTAAAGAATTTCACGGTCTCCACAATGAACAGAAATGGGGAAATGACTCACTGTATATGGTAGCTTAGGATTTATCTGGTCAAGGTGGACTTTCATTTTCATTTTATATGCTTTTGCTAAAATACTTGAGGTCAGATTTTGACATGTTTTTTCTTAAATTGAAGTCACTGGTTGTTTATAAAAATGCATATTTATTTTTGTGATTTTCCTGTTTTTTGTATACCATTGTGTAGGATAAATGCACTCGAAATGAAAACTTGAAAACGTGAGGTGGATTTTGAAGCACTTTCTTTTTTTTTTCTTTTTATGGTGAAACTGTTCATTAAATACATCTGAGTGTGATGTGATATGACCGTTCATTTTTAGCCTTTAATTCATTAATATTAATATTTATTATTAGGGTATAATCAACCGTTGTTTGTTCCTTTCTGAAGGTGTTGGGTAATATGCAGTTTAAGCAAGATCAAACTTTAAGATATGTTGTTTATTGTAAAGAAAAGTGATGGTGTGGGGGATGGGTTTAGAAACTGATGGTCTCGTGCCCTGCTACACACTAAATGCACTCAATCCCACTACTTATGAGCCTATAACCACACATGAGCGCACTTAGGATAGACGAGTAGAAACAGCATATTTCAGAGGATTTCTACAAGAGACATGATCTGGTCACACCATGTTTTCATATAGTTTTTATAATGAGCTATTCTGAGAGAAGAGGCAGCATTATGTCTCTGGTAAGCTATAATATCTGACTTCCTTTCTCTACGGAGAGCAAGATTAAAAGCAGAGAAGGAGGAGGAAGAAATTAAGGACAAAGCCTTTGAAAAAGATTGAAAAATTACTCCACAATAAGCCAGAACGTAAATGCACCGCTGCTGGTTCCTCGTGAACAGAACCTCCTGAGTTATAAGCGACAAATAAAAGTGTTAACATGATCATTTGTGCATAGGAAATCAAGTGCCATAGTCGCAGCAGCCACTTGTTTGTAGACTGTGTAAGGGGTTTTGAGAAGTTTAAGGATGGTGTCCTTCTAAATATTTTTAAATACTTTTAAATTCACCTGATTTACATTTTTAACTAACTAAATAGAATCTGTGATTTATTTCTTAAACCTTTCATATAAATATAACATAGCCTGATTGTATTTCAGTGTTATATCATATTTTTTAGTCATTAGATTTGGGGCGAAAAAGGCCACAAGACAAAACTCTATATTAAATATAAATGTTAATAAAATGATGCAATTGCAACAGCAAATTAATATTATTTACAGCTAAATATAGCCTAAAATAAAATAATAGAAAATATTTACTGGTATTGTTTATGCTTCCACACAGATAAACTGTTTCGTCCACAACCAAATCAGCCTTCCAAAACAGTTGGCAATAAATCTGTCACGCAATGGAAATACACACAGTAGCGATACAGCAGCGGGACTATCTATAGTGAAATGTAGGCTATAGGCTTATTGGCTATAAAAGTGTTCATGTTAACTTTCATTATAAATGATTTTTTTTATTTTATTTTAATGATAAAAAGATATGATTTGATTATAGAGATAATCGCTTGCATAGGCTACATAAATAGCCTACGTATTATTAATACACGGACAGACGTCTAAACCAATATATGATTTATCAAAAACCGGACAGCGGCTGAATGTTCTATACTTTGAAGGCAAACACATTTCAAACACAGCCCGTGTTAAAAAGCCCTTTAAAAAAGGTAAAATAAAAAAGTTGGCTAGTCTAGTTTAGGCCTAGAAATTGGAAACTAGAAATGGTAAATAGCAAATTCAGCACGGCGAACACACTGCACAGCTAGAGGTGGATTGTCGGGTCTTGCACAGTGAAACATACTGAGCTAATTTTGAGGCCTGACTTCATCGAATGGACTCGAGCCTTAATTCACAGAACTCAACAGGCCACCATTAGCCTGTTCAGTAAGAACAGACTTTTCAATCTCCTAACAAGTTTATGCTCAACCTGTTGTTGATCGCTACTGTATAAAAGAAATAACCTGTGAATAAATTAGCCCTTAAGCTGTTTATAGATGTAGGAGTATTTGGCTAGATTGTTTTCACACTAGTAAAAGACGACCGATAAATTGATGAGTTTACAGTAGACTTAAATGTTTTAGCTAGGCTACACCACTCCATATTGCCAATGCAATAAAAAAAGAATCATTGTAGCGTGCAGTAGACAATAATAATCTCAAGCTACAATAGGCCAAGGTTTTGAATTTGCATTAATATATCGAATTATCAAACACTTCGTCCAACTATCCATCGTTCGCCTTATATTTAGACACGTGGTTCAACCAACAGGATAAGCGGCCTCATGGAAGCTTCTTTTGTAATGGGATCAGGACGTGGGAGGAAAATAATGCTGTTACGTGACCTGCAAAAAGCTCATCACCATATTGTTAATCCCACAAATCACCAGTTCGATTTTTCTAATGCTTATTACTCCACTAAGTTACTTCAGAACGTTGTAAAACATGAAAACCATAGGCTATAACTTGGAGGAGTAATATAAGCATTAGTTACTTTGATAGGCTATAGCCTATATACAAATCGCACGCATATCAGAGTAACAGGCTTAAGGAGGAAGCTCTGATTGACTGGGGTCCTCGTCGGCCTCGTGGAAAGAGATTCCTCTGTTATCTGCATAAACTGAACGCGTATCCCGAAAGAATACCCCCACACAAACTCCAAAAAGAAGATATAGTTTCTCTGTTTCAGACAGTGACAACTAAATATACATTATAAGAGATAGATATATTTGATTAGGCCTATAGTTATAGGGTTTTGTTCTACTGGTCTTTAATGACCAATCATTAGGCTATTCTCAGACTTCACCTATACTGACTCGACAGTGTTTATATTTTCAACAGCGTAGATCGTGTTAAGTTGAATTAAGCTAAAACTCGAAATAAATACCCCCTGCTTATTAACAAGTTTAAAAAACAAACAAATGAATAAATAAATAAATACATATTGACCCTCTGACATGTGCCGTGAATCCCCAGTCCACGAGGATTTTTTTTTTAATAGTCCTTTCATTCGGAACTTTAGAAATTTGTCAGCTGCACATTTGTAATCCCAGTTTTTCTATTAAAAGCATAAAGGGCTTCTTCTCCCATGCAGGTGAAAATCAAACTCATACAGATTGAAGCAAAAGTTCCATTCAAACTATTTGAAAAGGACACTTTTTTCTCATAGAATAGCCTACAGATTAAAATAAATAATACTATGAAATATCGTGTAGCCTATTCATTTGAGTACTTCGTGTTTTTTTCTGTTAATCATCCATGAGTTCTGACAAGCTTAATTTTAAATTGCAAACGAAGTTGATAGTGACGTTGATGAGTTCTTACCTTTTCTCAACATAAAAGTAAAAGTTGCACTGTTAACGTTTTCCTACAAAAATAAGCTAATTGCTTGTAATAAGATCAAATAAATAAGACTTATGAGTCTTACTACTGCAAATGGTTTTCACATTTCTTTGAAAAAAAAAAAAACTTGGCTAAAAATTATAACAAATTGATAGGCCCAATGTACCTCGCAAGTTATGAACAAACGAGAACAAATCCTTCTCGATACTACAGCGATACGGAAACAGTTAATTATTTCTTGACTTTTGGAGATCAATCACTATGCTAAGGGCAATTGAAGTGTTAACCAATAATTCACGTGTCAAAATCATTAATGATAATAGTGAAGTAATTAGTTAGTCGGGTTGTAGTCAAACAAATCATTAAACCCAACACTATCACGAGCAACGTTTCTTTCAGAAAAACTTGTAAAAACAAGTCACTGATCCAAAACAACAAGCTCCCTTAAAGGTTTCATTAGGTGACGTACGTCTTTCATAACACTTATGAATAATGTAGTTTTACGTCGTAAGGGATTCCCAAAGAGGTTTAAGCACACTAGGATACATAAAACGAATAATCACAGAATGTAATCTTCATATGATTTTATGATAACGTGGATTTCACCAATTAAGGAGCAGATTAAAACAATCACTGGGAGTAGATAGTACATTATTTAACCAATCCCAGAGTGCAAGGGAATTAGCATATTCTGAAGATGATTCTTTCAAACAAAGATTAACATTTAGAAAACAGAGCAGCCTTTCAGAACAAAAAAGTGTCACCTGTTACCTGTGAGCAAAGAAAAATAAATGTACCATTTAAACCGTCCCGTTTAGACTGGCTCTTCACTATCGTTTCACCGCTTGGTGCAGATGTATTTGTAAAACAACTTTGTTTTGGTTGTCAATAGCTATCCGAA